ACACACACACACACACACACACACACTCGCACACACACACACACACACACACACACACACACACACACACACACACACACACACACAAGGTAAAAAGCCTATTTAAATTAATGCAACAATATTATGACATTATTTTTGTCTGTGATAGAAGCCCAGTAAAGCTTTACACATGTGTATATGAAACACCATCTTAGTTTGTGGAAGCATTAATGTAAACAGTGATTTATTTATCATTTTATGTAATAGGGTATTCTATGTGTTGTATTGTAAATTCCTAATGTCTACATTTTGAAAACAATAAAACACATGAATAGATGTATGTTAAGAAGTTAGGAGTTGCTAATTGCATTGTACAGATTGTATTCACTGTTAAATAAAACCAAATTATACACATCATCTACTTTTTTTGGGGGGGGGTATGTTTTGTGGGAAGGAGCAAGTAAATTTTTAAGATGGATAAGCAGATTTTTCTAGTATTTTGTCCCTTGAACAAGAAATTATTTAGAAAAATATTCCACACCCCTGTTTCACATTAAATACTGCACTCAACATTTTCATCACTCTCTTATATTTGTTTTAAGCACTTAAATTTTCTTTTTACTTCAGCATGTTTTAGCACAGTTATTGAGATTCAAAATGTAATGAAAGAAGTCTTCATTCTGAGACACAAAAATAGCAAGCAAGGTTTAGTTATTTCTGATAACTAGAAGTTTAGAGGGTGTGAGCATGATTTAAGAACTAAAGAGCGGTAAGACATGGATACCCTTCGTCTTCATTTGGAGGAATTATAACAATTTAAAACTTTTTCCTGCCACATAAGCTCTTAAATTATATCTTGTGCTCAAAGATATTTAAATTTCTTGTCATATTGTTTATTTTGACTAATTTTGATGACCAATCAAAATATCTAAAACTTTCATTCCTCATCCTTTTTTACTGTAATGTATGTTTATGATTCAAGACAGTTAATAAATAATACTGGATTATGCATTATCATGTTGCTATATTATTAAGAAGCAATTACTGCTTTGAATATGTGCTTATATACCTTAGTCTGTTACATACTTGTGTGGCTTTCAAAATATTCAGTTTGGAAAAGGATTATAATTAACTTGATTGAGAAAAGAATAATAAATCAGCCCAGATTGGTCAAATTTCTCTTATTTCTTTCCAAATAATATATCTTTGACAAGTAAAATGACAATCAAATTCTATTAAATTTCTGAATGTAGCCAAGTGCTTGTGAATAAAAGGTTAATATGTTATATTGGAACACTGGCTTGGACTTGTTTTTAAGTAAAATGCATGTTAATCGTATGTATACTTGTATATACACACATATATAGCATAATAACATTAAGGATATTCACACCCCCTTCCATGCTGCATATCTTAATTCATCTTTGCACAGCACATTAGACACTTAGCATTACCAGTTTTTTTATTTTAAAGTAAAATTTCAATTAGTTTTCTCCATAGAATGTACACTGTAGCTATGGTTTTAAAATGCTGCTAAAAAAAATGTTGTATTACATATTGGTTTGAAAGGTTTTGCTAATTAGGAAATGATCACTGATAAATTTATGAGCATTGATGGGTGTGTGATTCTACATGTGTATCCTCAACTACATGTCAAAAATGCTTATACATCAGTGTCTTTTGTGTATGTATTAGCAAGAGTGTACAGGATATCCAGCTATAATATCTGTGTGACCTATTGTATGTTAATCCTGTCTCCTTTGTAAGATTGGATCTCATCAAAGTGTTTTGTGTAATGAATGAAGCTAATCTAATGTAGATCAAAATTGCCTGGCAATATCCTCATATGGACCCTACATTTTCAACTTGTATTTCCATTCATTGCATCTCAGAATAAAAGCTTCTCAAAGCCAACAGCAGAAACAACAATATTAAAACTATTGTCATAACACAGTGTATTAACATTAATTTGTACAATTGTTGCATATTATTTGGAGCTGTGTCATAATTTAAAATGTACGTTAACAAGTTATTAGATGTATGTGAATTTGTAATCACATTAGAGATAAGTCTATCAACAGTGTAGTCATATTTTAAGTTATATTCTCTTCTCTAACTTTCAAGATAATTCTGGGGTAATGCTATATCTTTTGAATGTAACAGTTGGTTCCCTCATTCAGAAAAATGTCTCTAATGTGATTGAATAATTTTTAACAAGCACATCAGTCATCTATTATTATCTGGCCTTGTCCATGAAGCTACAAAATGTTTCTACCTTGTTAAAGCATTAGGTTTTAATTAATTTTTGTGGGAATTAATATCTATTTCAGTTGCATATAAATATAAAGTTGTTTGGGAAGGTCCAGGGCTCATAATTGTTTACTCAAAACTTTCAGTTTAGGAGTTACATGTATCTGTTTGCATGGTGAGAACAGATACTATTTCAGGATCTATTGGCCAATTAGAAAAGGGCAAGTAATCATCAGAAAAAGTTGTTTTATCCATGAATTCAAAAGCTATGTGATTTTAGCAGAATATAATATTAGAAAATTACTGTAATAATGTACTGTTGATGTGGTCATAATATTAGGGTTTCAAGTGAAAAAAACAATATTTAATGTCACATTTTGATCATATCTAGGAATAGCTCAAGTCTGAGTTTGCTGTTGAAAATTAGGAGAAATTTGGTTATCTTTTAAATACCTAAAGCTTCATTGCCATTGGTGAAAATCTTGCTTAAATCAATTATAGGTAATTCTGTGGAGTTATAAAAGAATATATTTCCTTTTTTTTTTGTTAACAAAAACTCCACATATATATTTTTGTCAGAATTATTTTCAGTAATATGACACTTAAGCTCATTGCTGTATATCAAAATTCATCAAAAAATTCCTTGCAGTAGTTAATTTTAAAACTGAATTTGATCTCTTATGTAAAAATAAATCTTCAGATTTTTATCTAGATTTATTTGCATTGAATTCTGAAAACACATACTTAAGATTTTGGAAAGACCACGATTTCCTGAAAAATAAAGACTCAGTTTTTAGTTTTACTTTTTTCTTGGGGGGTGAGGTTGGGTGAGAAAGGACAGCCATGGAGGATCACATGAGTCATTGTTATCTGTATTTTAATATTTTAACTCTGTGTGTATAGGTTGTGGTCAAAGTGAGAATTACATAACCTTTTACAAAGTGCCATTCAACATGATATTATGTATTTGATGTCAGAGTTAGCAGTTATACATTTTACCATACATTGTTGACTTGATGACAATTTGTGGTAAATACCAGATACAGTATGCAGGGTTATTGTAAAAACAACCTGTAGATATGTATTTTGGAGGTCGTAGATGTTATGTAAATGCAATATACAAACAGTATGATGGGTCAAAATATTTGTACTCTTCACAAGAATATTGTCGTGCACTCCAACTTACAAGAGCCTGAGTCAGACTATTATTGGCAATTCAGATGCATACTGAGTACAAGTATGTCCAATAGATTTGTACATATTACTAAAAGCTTGCCATATTTTTGTGTAGATACATGTAGTATATTCAGAATTATAACTAACATTCTTTTTCCAATATGTGAACCAACCATAGTGCACATTTGGTTAAAACAACCAGAATTAGAATTTCAGTTTCCATTAACTAACCACTTTTTTAAAATTCTGTGTAATATATATAGTCTTACAAACTGATAATAAGACTCTTTTTTTTTTTCTTGGTTGGGGTGGGTGGGTGAGGAATTTATTGATAATTTTGTCTTATGATTACTTGACAGGAATACTGGATGACTTCCTAACTTAGGCGGTTCATAAGCTTGTAATTGTATCGTGGAAAATGGAATGCAGAGAACAAAATGACCTTTCGTATGTGATATCTGAAGTGTCAATTGAACACAAAATGTATTTGTTATGTAAGGAAATCGTTTGAACCTCAGTCACCAAGCTAAATTAGCCATATACATTTAAACAAAATATTAAGTTATCTCTTAGAGTCAACGTTAAAACAACTGATATTTAGCTTTACTTGGCAAAGAAATAACTTTTTTTTGTTCTAGATAATAAAACTTGTATTGTCCAGTTCATATTTTCTTGAAAACACTTTCAGATTTTGAAATACATGTACATAGTTTTACAGATTCAAAAAATATAATGAAAACTACCACCAATTCCCCTTGAACTTGCATCTATTAGATTGGGCTAAAAATAATATTTTGTAGAGTATTATACCATTTCATAATAGACTGATCAACAAATTTAAGCTGGCAAGCACGTGTGTTGTCTTTCAGTTAGATTGGTGAGAGCTTGCTACCTCTGTTCTAAGTTTCCAAGAACAGTAAAAGAAGCTGGCATAAGCATAAGAGTAACTTTTTGTACAGCTGAACATGGCAGAAGAGTAAGTTGGAAGAACTGCTTTCTCTATAAACCTAATGACCAGCAACTGATTAGTCAGATAGTTTATGTCACCAATTTGAGCAAAGCTAGCATTTTCTGTAAGAGATTTAGCTGTGTGTTGGCAGTATTGGAATTTTTATGTGACCAACACAGCTAAAGAAGCTCATACAAGTGAGTATACAGGATAGATGTGTTCTGAAATCCACAGTGGTTCTCCACTAGAAATTAAATCTTTATAATTATCTCCTGAAATTACATTGACTTAACAATGAATACTAATATATTTGGCTCAGATTTGCAATTATGTATTATTGATTGCTTTAGACAAAATGAAGTAACTGTGACAGGTACTTTTAATATATATTATAATATCAGTGTATAAAATTTCTTATTTTAATTTTTTCAAACTTAGGAACAGTTTAAAGTTTTTTAAAGCACAGAATTTTTAATATAAAAGAAAGCAATAAAAATGCTTTTTGCAGTTTAGCTGGAACCCACCCTTAAAAAACGTGTGTTTGTCCATGTGCTAGCACTTACACTTGGATATGTGTGAAAAACTTTTTATAGCTATTTTAAAACAACATTTTGGATTACTGTGTGAAATTGATGAAAGCTTAAAACTGATTAACAAATACTTTGGTGTTACAATATGTAACAGTGATTTTATAACATATAAAATGTTTCTCATGTTTCATTTTTTTTTATTTAATTTTTTTTAATATCCTACAGGCCAGTAATGGGAGAGGAAAAGCCTACCATTGTGTTTGTTCTAGGAGCACCAGGAGCTGGTAAAGGTACACAGTGTGAGAAAATTGTTAATGTGAGTATTCAGTAAATGTATGGTAGTTTATTGATTCACAGAGTACACCAAAGATAACTTCCAAAACCTGTTAAGTTTTGAAAATATTATGCTTGTATTTTAAGAAACATATAATGATATTAACTTGTACAGTTTGACATTTTTGTTTTGCATTTTTGGAAATATTTCACAAATTTTGTATTTTTAAGTAAACTAGAAAAGGCAGTCATTAAAGTGAAATCCACATTTGCATCTTATCTGTGTATTTATTTTATTTAGGTTTTTCATTACTCTTAAACTGATGTTTAATGTAATCTACATATTCATATGTTCTGTAGGTGATTGTATATTGTCACTTCTGCATATCTTTATCTAATTGTATTTCACATACCTTTATCTTCTGTAGGTATTGGTTGTATTTTACGGTTGTAACATTTCTCCAGTGTATCTGTGTGTGTGTCTACATGTATACCTTGTGTGGGTTTTAATTGTATTTTGCTTTTGCTGCATTACTCCATATGTTTTTCAGGTCACTGTATGTACATACATTTATTTTCTTCTGACTTTAAAGGAGATTATTGTTTTAATGACTATATACCCTTGTAAATAAAAGAAAAATGTTTGTTTTGATCAGGTCTTGTTTTATTTTCATATTAAGAAAAACTTCAAGGTGCCCTACACATTTGCATTTTAATACTTATTTTAAATGTATAGTTTGATATTTGTATATTTTGTATAAATTCCTTACAAGGATCATAACTTGTGTAATATTTGCCGTATTAAACATGAAGTACATAATAAAATCTGGTATTGTTTGAATTTAAAGTTTTCTCTAAGTAGTTTTGTTAATGATATAAATAAAAATCAATCCTACAGTCTGGTGTAGGGCATCATATAGGAACTCACACTGAGCTGCAGTATATGCAAAGTTCCAGAAGCATCTTTTCATGGTGCTTTGTTTTAAAAATATTCAATAGTTAAGGAAGTTCTTAGTTTTGTGATTTGGTGTTCCACATGCTATTATGCTTATTAACAACATGCTTTCTGTAGGAGTTTGGTTTTGTTCATTTATCTGCTGGTGACCTACTACGTGAAGAAAGAAACACTCCAGGCTCTGAGTATGGAGAGCTGATTGAGAATCACATTAGAAATGGGACCATTGTTCCAGTGGAAATAACATGTAATCTTCTAGAAAATGTAAGAGGGAGTTTTTTTCTAATACTTCTACATTAAATCATCTCTCACAATCACAAGCTTGCAAATAAATTCAACAATATTTTGATTAGGTACTACAGATGCATTTTCTTATTTGGATTAAGAAGGCAGAAAATTTAATTCTTCTTATGCTTCAGTACCTTGTAATTGTAAACCTAGTTAATTATTATTGTTATTTTTATAGATTCATAACCATTAGAAGAGCTGAAATGCTGATTTCATGAGTAAATTTTAACTTTTATATCTGCCATTTTTCTTTGTTTAAATAAACTGGTATTATCTTAGTTTATTTGTCAGTTCTTTAAGCTCTTCATAAGTTGCTTTTTTGTGTATAAAAGTGAAATTTAAATTTAATCTCATCAAAGGTGAAAGTTACTGTGTATTATGCTTTCTGTCTTTTAGATATCATAATTAAACTTACTTTTAATAATCATTAAGTGTGTGTAACCCTTTCTTCATGCAAAAGTTTCTTATCCTGTGACCCCTTCCTAGTGTCCCCTCTTCTGAGAGGCCAGCCATCATGAGGCTTAGTGATCAATTGTTTCTGGAACCACTTGTCAGCTTTAGTTCTGTGAGAGCTTGGCTCTTACACTTTGCCCACCTGTGGACTCATTTTGTAGAAAACCCTTAGGTTACACAGCTTTTTCTCTCATGAGCTTTCTTTGTTTTTCCAGGCACACACCTGTTTGTTTTCAATTAAGTCCTGAAGACTTTCACATGAAAGTCTGCATTTTCCCCACTATCTGGACATCTGGCATCTCCTAACTCTGACTTTGGAGGTATCATCTGCTACAACCTCCCTCATCCTTCTGCTTGTTTGAATTGACTGCCCAGATTCTTTAGTCAGTATTGACTCCCATTCAGTATTAGATCCATTTGGAAGTCTTTTATCACCTTGGTTGCTGGATGGGCTCAACCTTCTCCTTTTTTTTAGATATGCAACTCCTAGTTTCCAAGGCTCTCTGTCTCCTTTTCTTCCTATGTATGAGGTTCAGTCTCTCTCGGGGACTTTTGCCTCTCTTGTGCCCTTTCTTCTTCTGGATGTGTCCTTCAGTGAATTCTGGCAGATCAGTGGAATATTTTCTGTGATCCACAGTACTTTCTCATTCCTTTACCTACATCTCTTTGCCTCTTGAAGTATTGGTGGCTTGAATATTTTACATGACTCTGAGCATCCAGTTTCTTCCACTCCATGCAGACTTGCATCTATTTATGGATGTTTCATTAGCTGGGTGGGGTGTGGTTCCATATACTTTCACCAATTTTGGTGTTTTGTCTCCTGCAAAGCAGTCTCTACATTATTAATGTCCTGGAGGTATGTAAAGCTGTCTAGACATCATGTTTTGATCTGTTCTGACAACTCCATTGTTGTTGTTTCCTGACTTGCTCTTGAGACCTCTGCTTTCTTGTACTTGAACTTCTCTTTTGGGCTCATGACAACAAGATCTGGTTGTTAGCTTATGTGCCAGGAGCTTTGAATTTAGTGGCAGGTCAGCTGTCTTGCTTGGAACAAATCCTTCCAACAGAGTAGGCCTTACCTCTTCCATTGTGTTGTTTTTGTGAATTTGTTACCACTTTGGGAGACCTCTAAATGATGCACTTGTAATTCCCCTCTACACTAAAATTCAAAGTTTTTGGTAATCAGTCCCAGACTCCATGGTTCTAGTGGTATATCCTATGAGTCTAGATTTGTCCACTCATTTTCTGCCAATCCTTCTGTTTGACTTTTGTCCTTAATTCACAACAAATTTTGCCAGGTTCCTCTCATTCTTTGGCCAGCTTAGTCGTGGTCATTGTTTCCACTCCTTCACAATCTATCACTGGAAATGGATGGTTTATTGATGTTGAACCATTGACCACTTCCTTCCTCAAGGTTGTTCAACTCTTCCTGTCCCATTTTGGGGATGGTCCATTTATTCTATGCTCAGCACTTACAGAAGGGATTTTTCAAAGACTTTTGTTTTTTCCCTTACCATCCACATTTTCTTTCTTTCTTTTGTTCATGAATATCTCTTCCAAGCTTGTCTGATCAGTCATCTTCTTACTTAGTTTAGTTCTCAGGACTGTTACGTGCCCTTCATTTGAAACGTTGGCTACTCGTTCTCTGTAGTATTTTTCTCTCAAGAAGCATTTTTGTTTTCGTGCTTGTTGGAGACATCACTTCAGTATTTTTGCCTTGGGTGCCTCATGCATTCTTTACCACAGAGACAGGTTGATTTTATTCCCAGACTGCTCCTTCCCAAGACTTTGACTGTCTGGGTATGTGTGTTTATGTGCATGATTTGATGTTTTCTCCAGTCATCTTCTCTTTCTTTTCTGTATGATTATGTATGTTTGGGCAGTTTGCTGTTATCTCACTCACACTGCTCCCTTTTGAGGCAGTCAACACTGTGGGATTTTTCTTCTCATGACCAAGCTCCTATCTTGATTGGCTAGGTTAAAAAACTCATCCAACTAGTCAATTCCTCATTGGGAAATAACTCCATCTTTCTCATGTCATCTTCCCTCATCAGGTTCATAATCTTAGTTTCTCTTGTCAATATTCCCTGCATAAGATATTTCAGGCAGGGATGTGGATGACCCACGAAACCTGTGTCACATTACTTACACCATACTGTGGTTTCTTCTGTCTCTGGGTTTCATCTCTATCAAATTGTCATTCTCAAATCTTTCCAGAAGTGGTAAGTTGACTTTTTTTCTTGCAGTTTTCACTAAAAACACAATCCTCTCAAAATACAAAGAAAAAATATACTGGAGACAATGAAATCCATCATGTGGCCAGTGTGTGTGTATGTGACCATATGCAGATGATAATTATTCCTGTCCAGTCCATGCACCTCTCAGTTGTTCTCACCCACCTGAAAGCCTCCTTACAGTTTTCTGCTAATGGATTGGGAGAACCCTTGCTTTCTTGATACCAAACCACTTGAGATTTATCAACTGGAAGAGCCCCCCTTCACTTAGAACTAGACCCATTTCTGGTGGTTATTAACCAGCTGTATGGGTCTTGTGTACATAATTTACTAACTCACTGAGATATACAAGTCAGTTGAGTAGCTTTTGTACTATGCCCATCTTTGTGACACCATGTAGGAGGTTTCTTTGACAGGACCTTTCTGCATTTCCACTTGTATATGGTGAAGAATATTTTCTGCTTGAGATGGATGCTGTCTCCTATTGAGTGATGCTTCCACTAAGGCCTCCCCACCCTCAGTGAGTGACACACCTCATGACTTTTCCCTTTCTGTTGCTATGTTCTCAGAAAGAAACTCAACTTTTTAAATTCTTTATTTGTCTTGGTTCTTCCACCATATTTTCTGTTTTGTGGAGACGTGCATAGCAGTTTGTAAGTTAACAGACATATTCTTTACCTAAAAATGTAGTTCAGATAGATACCCCTTCACTGAACCACCCACCCTTCCTCCCAACTTCTGCTGCCTCTCTTTTGGTCTTGTCAAGAATTGCCCTCTAATTTCTGGAGGGGTATATCCTAATGTTGATTGTATCATAGAATGGTGTAGTACATGTTATTATTTGTAGGTGTGGAAGTTTTATTCAAAGGTGTAGTGCATACATAAAAACTATTACCTGTCTGTTCTGTGGAGAGGTATCTATATTAAATTCATTTTATGGTAAAGAAAATGTTAACTTTTGTTTTTGTTTCAAATTAAGTTTGGTAGGGTTTATGACATATGACTGTATCTTTTATGGATTTCTGTTTTTTTTTCTTGGTTCATTGGACCTGATGAAGGACCCAGCAATAAAATGAAATGCTTTAAAACTGAACAAAAAGTTAGTAGAAGTCCATAAAAAAAAACACAAAACACCCCATAAGATAATTTATTGATCACTGTAATGTTATGTATTTTACCTTATAATTCATAATAATTATGCAATGATGTAAATTGGCTGTAAGAGCTGTAGTAATTGATAATTGTAAAATTATAAGAACGAAATACTAATGCTAATGTCTTATAACAAATATACAATCAAAATTAAAGAAATATAAATTAAAAAGGTTTAATGTATGTTGTAGAAACCATTATCACAAATAAATAACTTTAATTGTTGGTTATAAACAGATAATACATGAGGCTAGCCTCTTGGGTACATCTTACTTGTAAGTATGTTTTTGTTAAAAATGTATAAAAGCTGCTTGCTGTTTTACTCAAATTTAAACTTAATTTTGAATGTGCTCATGTACATGTAGTCTCGTGTCAAGAGCCCACTTTTATCACTATGTTTACATGTTATTGTGTCTGCTTAACAACTAAAAATTATCAGTCAATTTTTCCTGTTTTGTTTAATTAACACTTTTGTGCAGGGACTTAATGAAAAAAAATAGTTTCTATTAACATGGGGTGAAATCATTAAGATATAAATTTAAAAAAAAATCAGGTTCTCATTGAAATACCATTATTTACAAAACAGGCCATGAACAAAAGTGAAACTAAAAAATTCCTTATTGATGGATTTCCTCGCAACGAAAATAACCTTGAAGGCTGGAACCGAATGATGGGTGACAAGGTTAATTTAAAGTTTGTCCTCTTTTTTGACTGTCCAGAAGAGGCAAGTAAAATTACTTTTATTGTAATTAAGCAGTGCCAGTTTATCTGTAATATATATAATTAACCATCTTTTTACTGAACTAGTGTGTTTTTCTTTCATAGGTGTTAAGACTTGTATGGGATTAAATTACAATTTTCAAAGTGAACTGTCATTATTTTTGTTGATTGTTTTATGGCTGTAAAAAATGCTATCCAGGTTCCTGAGTGGAGAACTGATCTTTTAAAATGACTTAGCTCATGTTTTATCTTCATCTTGCATGTTAAATCATAAATTAGCAGTGATTGATGTTTTATGTATTTAATTCAATCACTAGGAATTCTAATATATATGCATTAAAAATAATATTAACCTAGAAACAAGTTGTCAATCACTTTAAAGAAATTATGTTCAAGAAAAAAAAATAACGTTTATATTTTTACTCTAATTGTTTATGTATTATTATACATGCTTTATTTCCCATTGTTTATCCAATAACCATCTAAAACTGTGTATAAAGTTATTTCAATTAAATTGAAAGAAAGCACCTAAATAGGGGAAATAAAAGCATTTGAAACCTTCATAACAATTCATTTCAGTAAGTATCATGTTAGCAATTCTGAAAAAAAAAGTTAATTCTCTTAACTGCATTTGTTAAAGGTTTGTGTTAATCGATGTTTGAAGAGAGGAGCTGCAGGCAGTGGTCGATCTGATGATAATGAAGAAAGTTTGAAGAAAAGGTTTGTTTTACAGTTGTTAATAACTACCTATATAACGCTTGTTTTGTTTTTTTACACATTTTTTGTATGAAATTGATATCTATAAATGAAATGGAAACAAGAGAGAAATAAAAAGTAAAACTAATTAAAAAGTGCTAAAAGTAACATTAGTGTCATTCTTTTACTTTACTGAAAGTAATATATTAAGGTACTATTTCGTTACAGTTATTTTTAAAAAGATATTTCCACATTGCAGTATCTTAATGTAAAAGTTTTTAAACCTAGGAATGGCCCATTAACTTGGGTATATTTGGATTTTCTGATCCATAAATTAGAGAGACATTTAAATGTACTTGATACGATATTTGGGAATGTTGTGTGCTATTGTTTAACGATGTTTGAGGACTGATTTTTAGAAGATGAAGGACTTAGTTAATTTTCCAGGTTTATAAATGCTATGAAAGTTTTAGACAGGAAAAACAGGATTCAGTTGTTTTAATCTATGATGTCCTTAGTTTTCAATGTACTTTTAGAAACCAACATTTCAAAAGATAAAAGTTAAATTTTCAAAAAAGTGTTTTAAATATTAGGTTTTCAATTAGTACCATTAAATTCTATGTGTCTTAATAACAGGAATATCGTAAATTTCAAGTGCATATGTAGAAAGTGTTATTAAAACTGAAAATCATCTAACTTGAAAAGTTTGTAAATTTTCCATTAGAGATAAGTAGGAATACAAAACTAAAGATCTGCATATTTCATGAGTGGTTTATTAAAATTCTCAAAACTTGTATATAAATTTCATATGTGATTATATTTCCTTAGGTTTTCTTCTGTTGATAAGATGCAGAAGTTTTAAGGATTGTACGTTCTACTGATTCATCAAAACTTTTTGAAATTTAAATTTAATGATTTTTTTCTTGAAATATAATTCATTAAAATGTCAAAATTCTTTTGAAAATGAAGTATTTAATTTACAGTTCAAATATTGTAAGTATACAAGTTATTAAATTATCTTAAAAACATTTCTTCGTTGTTAGTATATCAGCATTAAATATCTTAGAAATTATTTTCACAAGTATGTTCTATATAAGGGGGGAAAATATTTGGATTATAATTCATTTCTCAACATTTAAAGTGCTGGAAGGAAAAGTTGCAAATTAGGATACTGTTGTTTCTTATAAATGGGAGTTTCTAAGAACACAAGAAATGATACTCTTTTTATTGGTTCATCCATTTATCATATATACCGATCTCTTAGGGAATTCTCTATACATGTATAAGAAAGGGTGGTAACTTTCTGATGAAAATATGTACAAAGGAATTGGTTAGTACTTTCATTTTCATGACGAAACTAAATATTGGAACAAATAGTTGGTTCTGTGTACTCCATTCAAATCCTCTGTTTTAACTTCAGTTGTTGTACAATTCTGTTATCAATCATAGTGCTTTAGCAAAAAAAAAAATCTAAATTGACATAAATCTGAAATATATTGCTTTTGAAAGTGTTTTATTTGATTTCATTTGTAAAATAAAAGTATCTTTTTTTTTCATTATAATTGTTTAATAATGCCTAAATTTTACACTTGAAGTTTATTTGTAATTGAAATGATTTTGGGTTCAATTGTAAATTATAGCATGTATAAGAACGAAAATGGTTGTAGAACCATTGTGTGATTATTAAACTCCTAGTAATGTGTCAAGTTTCTGTAGTTAATGCCAAAATATATTACACCATGAACAAGAGCTTAAATTTTAATGTGATACAAATATATCATAAGTTTTTTTAATCGTTCACTAGTGTTGAAAACAAATTAATTGTTTATTTGTATTTTAAAGTGATTGAGTTTTTAAATATAAATGATTAAAGCTTAGATGTGATCCAATATTTAAAAAATACTCTCATAAAAGATGCTGATAAATAGTGTTCAGGTACTAAATCAAAGTCCAGGTAGCTTTAAATTGTTTTCTTTTATTTCAGGTTTAATACATACATCAATGATACAATGCCAATCATTGAACACTATGACAAAGAAAACCTTGTGCGTAAGGTTGATGCTAATCATTCAGAAGATGAGGTCTAGTTTGAGAATGAGGAATTGTTTGATGTATATTTTAAATTGGTTACTGCAAAAGTTAAAAACATTGTCACGCAGAAATTGCACTCTCTGATCTTTCCAGTTTTCTTCTATATTCAAAAGTCAAAAAGTATAATGTTATATATTAAAAATATCTTTTACAATTTCTCTGGCTATGATTTTTTTTTATAAAGAAATTGTTCTACATCTTCAGTTGCACCAAAAAAAAACCAAAACACTTTACATTATAGTAAGTAACTACTGGACATACTTATAATAAATTTTGGAGTTTATGTTTTAACTGATTAATATTTTAGTAATGTGACAGATTCACTTAATTTTAAGAATACTGTTTTACATTAAATTGTAAAAATCAAGAAAAAGTACTTACATCAAGATCATCTTTCAATCTCAGTTTGTTCTTTAGTTTGAACTTTTTAAAAAAATTCAAATTAGTTACCATAAAAACAAAAGTGTTCGAACTTTAGTGTCACCTTGACATTTAATGTACAGTTGCTGGATAGGGGTAATAAAAACACTGTTTGGTGTAATAATTATGTGTATAAGTATTAAAGAAAAATATTACTCTGTTTTTAACTTGAATAAATGTCAAAAAATATCATTTAAGAATGTATTGGCTTTATCCATCAAACTATCAACTGTTATGTCTCATTTTTCTACTACCTTTTCAAGTTTACACTTATTTTAAGGTAATCTGTAGTTAGTTCAATTTCTGATAGAAAGTGGAGCTAACAGAGTGCAAGAATTTTTGCCTGAATTAATGTTGTGTTTTTGTGATAAAGGATAGAGATAAACAGTGAACAGAAACTTCAAGCAAGCTTTCTAATGATAAGTATAATGATAATATCTGCAATTATAACTCCCTATTTACTTTCAACCTTATAGTTAGCTGGACATGTTCCCATGGTTAACTTGCCAGATTTTGGACCCAAGGTTCTGTGGTTCATGCTCTTTTAGCACCAAAATAAATGTGTTCCAAACTTTGGAGCTGGGGGGTGTATTATACAAGTGATGATCAAATCTCATTATTTGATTAGAATTGGTATTGTAGGTGGTGAGTGGTACTTGACTAGCTGCCTTCCCTCTAATCTATCACTTCAAAATTAGGGACAACTTGTGCAGGTAGCCCTTGAGTGGCTTTGTGCATAATTCTACAAACAAACGAAACCTTGTAGTTACTTAGAGGCTTACTGTCGTGATGTAATTTGATAACTTGTATATCCTAAGCTCTTGTTGGTTGATTTATTGAGTTGTTACAAAAGTTAGACAGACCTAAGAGAACAATACAATTATATGAAAGCATTTAAACATGATATCCCACCATTTTATCAAGTACATCCATGAAAATTGTATACAAGAACAATAGTCAAATTTGTGTCTCACTTACATAAATAGGTTTCATTTTAAACAGTTTCCTTGAACTTCTTACATGGTTCTGTCAAGAAGTGCATATAACTAATGTATAATAAAACAAGTATTTCAAGACTTTTTTTTTTCCTTAAAAATCATAGTTTGGTTTCAACTATTTTTCATTAATCAAGTAAGTGACACAGTATTCAAGTTAGATTCATAGAGCAAACTCAGGATTATTTTCGAAATATTTCAGATATCTGGATCTTTATACTTAAAACATTGGATATTTTTTTTTATCCTATTAACCCTTGAAATATATGTTATATTTCATAAATGATTATCATTGAGATTTCTTTTGGTACTTTGAGTCATCTTGCAGCATGGCTCGGAATACATCTGTGCTGCAGATGTCAGTCTTGGATTTGTAACGTAAATATATGTGTTTTCTGTCACTAAAAATTCACTTCAGTATGAATTTTTTTCTTTTTTTTTTGAGTCCCAAGTTCAACATTGAGGCACCTTAGATGCCAATGCATCATCGGTGATTCTTGGAGAGCTTTACCTTGTACCTATCTCCTCTCCAGATAGCTGTCCCTAATTTAGCAGTAAAGGACTAGGAGTAAAGCAACTAGCCAACATCACCCACTGTTAACTATTGGGCTATGCTTACCAATGAATAGTGGGGTTGATTGTCACATTTTAACACCCCAAAGGCTGAATGGGCAAGCATGTTTGGCAACAGGTATTCAAACCTGTGATCTGCATACTGCGAGTCATGTACCCTAATCACTAGACCATGCCAGGCCATCCTTAGGACTACATACAGTGAAACTTATAAATAGGATGGTTTTAAAAGTAGCTAGTGAATTAAATGGGGGTATCATAATAATAATATCTTGTGTTTCAAGTGAGTAGGAGTGAACTATTAAGGTTTAATTAAAATACATGTTGTTAGATGTGATTTTTATTATGAGGCTATACACACACAGCCTAACTCCCACAGTTCTACAGTGAGCAATAAACAGGCTGACAACATAGGAAACTTATGAAAAGGTACTATAAGAATGAGGGCAATGTTAGTGGAATATTAAGGGCATTACAGTGAGATACAATTATGATAACTGTGACAATTGACAGAATGCCATTTAGCAGGACAAAGTTTAAAATAATTGTCAATATTCACAAAGTTATTGATCAAATAAATGAAATGTAAATAAAAAATTTAAAAATTTTAGTTTTTGATTGGTAAGTTTACATATTAAAATACTGAACAAATATTTTAATGAAACATTTGTAATATAAACTTTCACTAAAGTTAAATAGGTGTTAATTACATCATAATCTTGTAATGCATTAATGTAATTGACCAATATGTAGTCCATGAAATGAAGTTACAAGTTATAAAATTTTCTCTTCAACTGAATTTATGTCACACATTGCAAGGGATCCCAATTGTTTAATATAAAACTATGAAGTAAAGAATATGCACACACATACATAGTAACATTTGTCATAAATGTATATCGTAAGTAGTAGAAGTATAGCTTATTTGGTTGCATTACATAATTTATATTCTTTCCAAATATCTATTGTTTAGGAAAAAAAGTTATTCAATACTTTTGTCTTTTTTTGTGTTTCTTAATTTCACAAAATTACATTGTGAAAAACTTTCCACAACTTTTTCCATGTTTTAATGTTAAACTGAATTGTTTCTAAGTTTGATGCATAAATAGTTTGTAATTGTAGTTAGTATTTCTTATTTAAATTGTTTTACTTGTTACATGTGAAACAATGCCATAAGTTTAAATCAAACTATATTTGTTTTTTAATGGTTTTGTGCTTGAACACAGTATAAACAGTTTTTGCTGGATGAATCCTAAGTTAACAACAGTCTTCATGCCAGATGAAACAAAATTGGTATTTCAAACACTTTAGGATTCTCCTGAAGGTGGTTCATGTCTGTTTTGATTAGCAACTCACTGTAATCTTACTAAGATAAAAGCAGTCTTTGCTACAGGTGGGTTTTAGCAACCAGCTAAAGGGGTGACCTACCCACCATCTCTTGTATACGTTTCCACTAGTTTCTTTGAGACCAGACCTCTCGATTAGTTGCTATAGACTAACATAGATTACACTTAACATCTGGTTTAAATATCATGCATTCCTTTTAGTTTTACATGTTTTTCTAGCCGAAGTTTCAATATTAAGGAAAGTAGAATCTGGCTTCTTATACTTATTCTTTATGATTCCACCTATGTGCAATACACTCACCCAAAATTAACTTGTATTGTAGCTTTAGGTTAAAGGTTTTACTAAAAAAAATCCAAGCCATATTTCCCTGTCTTGTAGCACTGGAAGAAATCAAATTGAAAAGTTAAAATATCAGTTAGATAAAAGGGAAATACTATCAGCAATAAAAAAAAATTAGTGAAAAACAGTCCTAGTAGCAAAAAACTTACATTTACTATCATTTCTGGTAAATGCACTTCATCAAACATTAATACAGACTGCTTTCAGTTTGAAACATGTTAAAATTTAAAAAATTGTTTTTAGGTCTATTGTAACTTTTTTACATTTAACACATTTTTATTGTGCCACACTGCAAAGCAGAGTGGGGCATATTGGTTTGCTCCTGGGCATCCATCCATCCATCCCAAACTTGTGGATAGGATACCTCAAGATTGGATGGATGTATTTTGATCAATTTTATGCAACAGGTACTATATACAAATTTTAAGACTAGATTAACTTTTAAAAGTTATGGATGAAAATTCAGAGTGTGGGCATAGGTTCTCATAAACATCTTGTAATTGCTACCTTTGTTTCTTTCATATAAACTTCTGTCTCCTTTACTTAGCTTTTGTTTATGCTATGTTTACTATAAAACTGTAAATTTTGTATTCCACTGTTGAATATCTATTGCTTTTCTTGTGCAAATGTGTTTAATTTTTTGTATCACACTTTGTGCTTGAATATTCTTAGCATACTTTTTTTTTTTTAAATCAGTTAGAAACATATAATTGAGTTGGGTGCAGAATATAAATACTATAACAAACCATTTAATTACAGGTTTTTTGGTTGCAGTTGTATATAATTTAATTTGTGACCTTTTTTTTTGCTGTTGTTCTATTTTTATAATTTTATCTATATAATATACAGTTCGGTCTTTTCTCTGTTCTAACTTTCTTTCCTGATATATTGCTAATTTTTACTATAACATTTTTTTAACATAAAGGTACTAAGGACAATCATTGTTTACCATTTTTTTTGTTGAATAACTGTACTTCATTTTATTAAAGTGGTATTTTTAAGACAGTATCTGCGAGATACAGTAATAAGTGGCAATCTTAATAACCTTGGCCATAATTCTAATGTACATGTATTGTTTAAAGACCACTGAGATAACATTGATCAATATAGTAATGTTAAATAGCTTTTAATAATTATCTTTGTACAGTATATACCACTTATTTATCTGTTTTCAGATTTTTGATGTTGTAAAGAAGATGTTTCAGGAAGAATAGAGTTGTAGCACATGTTCTGAAGGATATCCATTTTTCCTAGATATAGCTTACATTTCAATCACTGACTGGACTAATTTGTTCTATCTGGTGTTTTGTCCTCTAGTCAAGTTGTACTCTTTACTAGCTTTTGTTTTATTGAAAAACAATTTTTGAAAGATTTAAAAACGAATTTATTTGTAGAAGGATAGTATAAATAATTTCATCACATGAAGAATAATTCTGAAAAAAAAACATACTTTGTTTAATATGGTAGTTTAAACCATTTCAACAGACAAGTAACATTTTACACTAAGGACCTCTTCAAAACTAGCAGTTAGAATTGTGGGATTTTAATAAATTTGTTATTTTAGGCCGATGTAATAAAAACGTATGTATTACATATATATATTTTTAAAAAATAAACAATTATTGGAGGTTTTAAAAAGTTGTAAAATAATGTAATTTTAGTTTTGTTAGATCTAAGTGAAATAGATCTAAATAGAAATTTACATAGCACATTTTTAATTGTTAGTACATTTCAGAATATTGGAATTACTATAATTTTTTTTTATTGGGGAAAATTTAAGTACTAGAAAATATTAGCTAACTACTTAGCCTTTTAAAAACTGAAATTATATTTTCAATACATATAAATTATCAGCAAAAAAACATGCATAATAATTCCTTTTGTTTAAAAGAATATATAATTTTCTGACAATAGCTCGGGTAGCACTAACACTGTAATTTGGTACATTCTTGCTTTGTGCTGAATAATTTAAATAATTGTGATATATTTATATTTTTTATCTATATAAATAATATACTTGAAAGTGAGGTCTCACTGGTAAAAGCTTTTAAGTATATGTTTATGAAATACAAGATTATAATTAATTATCCGCTTAAAGTACACTAAGTTTTACTGTAATTTAGTCAGTGTTGTTATTCTGATAAGATACATAGACTTGTGTCACTGCCAATTAATAAATTATACTTTATTTAATATTACTGGTACAAATGTTAATATACATTTTTTTTTAACAGAAGGTATTCATTTTTTTAAAGGCTGTTAATAATACTTTGAATTGGAGATTTCATAGTGATATTAATTTTTGTTTTACGTAACGATCACTGTACTATATGCTTTTGAGTGTAAATGTCACAATGACTTGTGTTCATGGTCTGATATGTATAAAACGAAACAGAAAACTATTACATGTGGAAAGGGACAAAGTTAAACGTACCTAAAACATTTATTAGTAAGTTTCTTTTAATCTAGAAGTCTCTAGGTAATCCAATCAATTTAAAACTGGTTTTATCTTCCCCCCCCCCCTTTTTTTTAGTAATTATCTCTTTTTGAGATTTTTATCAATTACTATAGGAATTGTGTTAAACAGTCTTTAATAAAAAGCTCTTAGAAAAGCTTATAAGAATTTTTTAGTATTTCTTTTACTGCAGTTTTATTAAGAAACAGTCAAAATGTGGTATACATCTTTTTTTTAACATCTTTACAGTATTTTTAAAATATAAAAAGCAGGAAATGTTATAAAAAAAAATACTTTTGTTTTGTTGCTATTCAAACCAACATTATCATTATAGTTTCCTAAGTTTCATCAGGAATGTATGTGGATCAATATTTATTCAAAGGGCTTTTCAAAATGTTTAGACAAATATACAGATAAATGTAGTTATAACATCAAAATACTTATCTGTTTTCCCCTTACTTTATTCTAATTGGATCTTACAATAAGATTTTAGTGGTATTTTGGGTTTTATTTTTTAGATAACTGTAATGTTTCTTCTTTATACAGCAGTTTCTATTGTTTAATCCTTTTTTTTATAGTGTTTCAGCTTAATTATTTTTTTTTATATAGTTAAGTTCAGTTTTACAATTTTACAAAAATAGGGCAGTGTTTTAAGTTTTTAAAATAAAAAAATACAAGCTTTTCTTAGTATAGTTTCAAAAACCAGAACTAAAGTTTTTCATTACATTATAATCAAACTTATTATACAGTAAGCCAACTAATTTAGATTAAATTATTATTATTTATTCTGTGAACTATTATAGTCATCAACTTTACAGATTTATTCATTTGTTTTTTTATTTCAAAATGATATCCTAAGGAGAAAATTAAAAATATATTTTAAAGTATGTGTAATATCCAATGGAGATATTTTCAGTATTAAAAGAATGACCAGATATTATAGGTATACAATTTTATAGTATAATTTGCTGTGTAACAGCTGTTACAAGAACATAATGTATCTTTCTAAATCAATATTTATTTGATTTTTCAGAAAACCTGTTTGCTTATTGTACCATGAGTGTTTGTAGTGTAGGTTAATGTATACTGTAGATGTGTGAAAATAATCATATGTATAATCATTAGGTCTTCAAATAAAAATGGTAAAAAATTTATTTATGCATATAGTTTTTTTTTATTCAACTACATATATATTATTTGTATTCAGCAATGTTGAATTATTATAAATTACTGACACATTAAAATACTGAAACAGCTAACAGCAGACTTAATATTCCTTTCACTTTAATTACAAATGTAATCTGAATCAGTTGTGTATCTTTTAGCTTATTAATAAATTTGATAAGCTGAATTATATCAAGAATAAGAGGTATGAAAAAGGAAAAAATAAATGTTGTCCAATATTTATCAAGAAAAAAAAGGATCACAATCTTATTAAATGTTTATATTTTCTTCTCTGGGATGGAATGTCAAACAATTTTTTGAGAGGTGGGGTCAATGTGGTGTGAGAATCAGGACCAGTTATTTTCAAGGTCTCATTTTGTATTGAAAAATAAATGAGTATCCCCCTCCTCCCCATAGGCAAAATATAATATGCCTCTTTCTATCCAACACCTGAGCTAGTGAATTATGTGACTCTCATACTCTTAAGCTTTACCACGTTACAATGTATATGTGTAAATTTTCTGAGGTGAGGTCTACAATGCATAGTTCATAATCATGCACTTTCAGTGTCAGATTTAGAAGTTCTTATCTTAAAGGATAATTTTATAACTAGATTAGATAATTGAAGGAAATAAGGTTGTTTTTGCTATTCTGAAACGTAAATAAAAAGTACATAAAGGAAACTGGGCCACTAGGATGGATTAGTTTTCTAACATCGTTATTTAGGTGCCATAGTTTTTGACTGATGTTTAATTGCTGCTAATGAGATGTTGATGAATGACCCACATTCTATGAGCAGCTTAGTATCACAAACAAAATGTTGCCAACACTTTGAATAAGACCTTGTTCATCTGTTGATGCATGATTCTAACTAAGAAAAGGTACGACATAAGAGACATTAATTATGTTGACATACTTGTACAGTGATGAATCAAATAAATCATTCAATCTCTGTTATTGTGTCACGATAAATGTGTAAAAAGTGTCTGGTAAACAGTCATGAAATAGCACTAGTACATTGTTTAAATCAAAATTAAAACAGAAAAAAAACAAACAGTTTTCCAGCTATAGGAATAACATGAATATTTTGCCTGCTTAAAAAAAATACACAGGTTCCAACTAATGATATTTTCAGCCACTTAATCCAATCATAGGACTGATTCAAGATAACCAGTGCTAATGTGGTTGGTTGGTGTTTTTTGGTGCAGAGCACCTAGGCTATCTGCACCAAACAAACAGTAAAAGTTAAATTTTTATAAAATGTAAAAATAAATAGTTAAAACTAAACAATGTCTAAAATACAGATAAGATTTAAATAGAATTAAAAAAGCCAATGGCTCATAAAAAATTTAAAAATACAATCAAATTGGACAGTGTCATCATTTAAAGTCGGGGATAAACCCTTAGAAAACACGTCTAAAATGGTAACTTTGCTTGGAGTTGGAATGACAGCTTAATGTGGGCTATTGTGATGCTCAAGTCACAATACCCCACATTTTACTGTTGTACCATCATTACGGCTCCGAGTTAATGTTGTATTTTAATATATCATGCATTTCTATCTTCTTGTAATATTATAGTATTTATTCTTTTTTCTATATATTTGAAAGTTCCACATAACATGGTTGAGAAAGCCATTAAGTTTATTTCATTCTAAGCTTCCTTTGTTCTTAGAAATGAATAATGCCTGGTATCACCAGGGGAGGATATTGCTCAATATGATGAGCTGTGCAAGGATGCTGACAGCAGTGTCCTTCAGTGGTTGTTCCAGTAACATCTGTAGGTTACAGCCCCACCTATGTTGTAATAATGTAATGTAATGTGGTCCAGTAATGGTGATAATCTTGTGTACATAACAAGTATAAAATCTGTATTTTAATAAAGATTATTCATTTTGTATTATATTTTATGTTTGGTCTTACTTCATTTTACATGAACATAGTTAATAAAGATTTAGTAGTACTTTCATAATCAATATCTTAAGCAAATATCCCGTTATGTAATGGACCTATCCAATATAGCTGTAAAGTTAATTCAGTTTCATCTGGGTATATCACAGAAATATTCATACCCAATCAAGTTAGTCCTAAGTTATACATTTTACATGAAATAAATATTATAACAGTAATTTAAATACAATAAAGTTGTAGAGATGATGATTGTAAACTGGTAATACCTTTTTGGAAATTTATCAATTAAAAATTATTTCAATACAGTTAAACCTTATTATTAAATTTGAAACATTTTATATTATAGTATTGTTTTTAATTATAATTCACTTGGACACAAGCACAGTCCATCATTACAAGTTTTCATTTTTATATGGCATTCTCTTGTTCACAACTACCGATGAGGGAAGTGATTCCCAAAACTAGTCTTAGTGACAAGTAGCAATGATATTGATTTTTTTCAGTTTGTTCACTGAGAAATGTAGGAGAGCAAATTAGTAATAACAATACCTTTTCTCCAACACCCTGAATCAAGGTAGGTTTATTGCATCGCATAAAGAACATTACTCGCACTAAACACCTATATTTTTGTCAACCTCGGAGAGTAAATTCATTGCTTTCTACAAACTTTTTGTGTCACTGTAAATCTCCATCAAAACTTTTTCATGTAAATATACATAACTGGTTAATACAAAGCTTATGAGTGGAATTGGTTTACTAAAGTTTATTCAGAAAATTTGTATTAGAATTTTGAGGAACATAATTGTAGGAAATTTAATTTGTGTAAACATTTTTGGTTACTTTTAACCAGCATGTAAATCCCATAAGTTTGTTAATTCATGATAAATATGGGCAATAGAAATTGAATATTTTTATTGTTGCTTACAAAGACATACATATTTTTATGTACAGTTTCAGTAAATTCATGAAGATTACAGTTCCCTAACTTATAAAGTTCATTGAATTCAGATTAATTTATTTTTTTTAATATTCAAAATAACAGTTGGAGCAAGAATAAAAAACTGATACAATCACATTTTTTTACAACTTTCAGTAAAATTATGTTTTCAACAATTTCTTCTGGATACATTGTTTTAGAGCGCACTATAAATCCAAATATCACTCTCAGCAGATTTTTGAAGAATTGTTGGTATGTATTTAATAGTAAAATAATGTATAGATTTTTTTACTGTTAACTGCATAACAGAAATACATCTGTCGTCAGTGTTAAATGATTCTAAAAAGACAACTGTTAAACTGAAAAAATGACATGAAATTGTAATGCAAAACAGCTTGCTCAAAGAAACAGTTTGTAAGATTTTCTTTATCAAAGAAGTTTCAGTAAAATTTTAGCTAAGTAAACTGTTATGGTTTAAAAATTACGAGAAAATTGAAACTTTTGAGATATGAAGTTTTTATTTGGTTTGTTGAGAACTCCAACAGAATCACCCTTTAAATTTATAGGTCTTTTGTACTTTTGTTTTTGGAAGTGCATACATGGGCTAGTTATGTTAAAACAAGATAACTAACTCAACTTCTCAATTTTCAATTACTGATTATTTATGAAATAAAATACAAACAGCCTTTTAACAGATATTTATAATTTTTTTATTTTTAACTCGGCTATTCCAACAGCAAGTATAAAAATGGCCAGAATGAGCTACCAACCAGACACCTATAAATCTGGAAGCTTGATAAGTACTGTATGTATAATAGCATGGTAGCTTACTTCACTTGCTATGTTACAGTAAATTTTGGAGAGAACTTGATAAATGCACAAAATTATTAACCTTTTAACATGAATTAGTTATTTTACCATTAAATCTCATGATTTACTCACACTACAACATAGGAGGAGATAAGTTACAAATACAATACCTGCACAAATTCAAGGTTTTAAGCAGTCATTTTATACCCTATAATGAATTTTTAAAATGATTCTACACCGTATTAACTGATACAAACAGTTTTCTAAAACAGAATAACAGGTCATGTTAGGTATCTTCCAGGTATGTCACATAGTGTGAATAATCTGAAGCATTATGGGAAGTTTACTTATATGCCATCTAACTAATTCATGTTCTTTTGGAGTTACTGATTCATAGGTACACATAATAATCAGCTACAAATAAAATGAGGAAATAAAGTTTTACTGTTAAATTATAAACTTAAGACATTGATTGAGCAATTCATATCACTTGAGTTGTGCCTTTAGAGTTAATACTTAAAGCAACAATTTTAATTATCAATTTAACACAAACCTCATGTTAAAAGCTGTAGTGATTAAAACAGATATAATAAAGAGTAATGGGTCTGTAATATCAAATTAACTTTCAGAAATCATTGGAGAGTTATATTTTAGGAAAACATACAAAGATATTGTGGCAGGAGCTGGGATTAAAATATTATGCATTAGTTCAGACAAAGTAACTATGTATCCATTATCTAATAACAAGAAAAGAAAATAATTTTGATCACTGCTGTAATTAAAAATTTCAGACAGTATCTATTCTAAGATGTACATTATAATAATTATTGAGTTGTAATGTGATAGCTGATAAGAGCTTCATTACAGACAAATTTCAAAAACCAAAACTCTTTAATACCACTGTGTACTAGATGAGTAGCTGGAGTTATCTTCAGTAAACTAGCATTCCTTTAAAGGAGCAGTGTTGTCTATGCTGTAGTATGTATTCATCAGGTGATAATTCAACAACCTTAATTTTCTGGTAACTAACATGATAACATAATTAAACGTATATATATATATATACATCTATTATGTGCTTTAGATATTGTTAACCATATATCATGGTTTATCAACATACATATATATTATGCAAAGCTGGTGGGGGGTAGATCTTCACATAAATAAGGGGGATGACACTTGGATAATTTTTACTAGGACGGCTGGTATACAACCATTAAATTACTGGAAAGAGTCAAGTAGTAGGTTATCATTTATATTGTTTCTGGCAGGCAAAAGTTGTTTTTACTTTTTTATCATAACTTGTATAAATTAATAATTTTTTTTAAATTTAGTATTAGATGTAAACTGTACTACTTGTTAATCCAAAGTAATGTCTTTAACAAACAAAATTACTGCCATCCAATTTGAAACAGGCATGTCAGTCTTTACATTTTTTGTTATTCTGAACTGTTATGTTCTTAAGAAATCATAATTAAGGGCAGTTTACACATACAAAAAGGATGGTATGTAAAAAACATGGGCCAAAATGAACAAATATTAAACACGAATGAGATTTATAAACTGTTTTAATTTAAATATAAGCTAAATTGTATGCACAATTTACACATTGCACAGTTCGCAGTCCTTTCATCTCTGTTATCCAAAAAAATTATGAGTGGACTTGTCAGTTTATTAATGCCACTAAAATTTGTAAATGAACAAATTGGCTGAGAAATGTGCACGACAATTTCCAAATGCACACTTTGTTTTATTAAACTAAGTTTATTTTTGTTAGTGCATGCCAATTTCTAAATCTACATAGTTTATAAATCTATGACAAATTTTAATAAAATGAAGTGCAAATCATAAATTCACGTCTATTCCAGTAAATCAAATATATTTCTCAGCAAACTTGACAATTTACAAATAGTAGTGCCATTTATAAACTAAGTATGCAATATATATAAATTGTAATTACAATTTAGCCTAAACTGCAAAGTTACATTTGGTACCTAATAAAATAATAAAACCAGTCAGTCATGCCTACTACAGCATATAATGCCAGTCAGTCAGTCTTCAACAACTAAGAAAACATGTTTTATTTCAGATGTTAGACATATACTTCACAGGAACAGGGTATTTAAACAATATGATTATACTTACATACCACTGTGAACTAATGCTATTCACATGAGACCAAATGATATGAAAATAAGGAACACACTAGTTAATTAATGGAGTATTTGTTATAAAAATGTATAAAACATTGAACATAAGTATAACAGTGTTTGTTCTAAAATTAAGATAAGATTGTTCACTTTGGTTTAAAGGAATACAGTTCTTAATTGTATTTCAACAAGACCAATGTTACCAGAAGCTTCAAAATTTTCTTTAATTTTGTAAGATATTTATTGAACATATGATGCCAGTACTTGAAATGTGCATGACTTGTATTTCATTCTAACTGACTTTTACGTTTGATGATAGAATCCCCAAAGTCTTCGTCAAATGATCCATAATTCTAAATATCTTGTACATTAGGTATTTTTGAGTCATGTTCACCTACCCACATGTAGCAGCATTGTTAGTAAAGATTATTTTCAATATGGCAAGATTTGTTGGATACTATAATAATTTGTAGTAATTTATATCTTTTGTAAGTCTACAATGACTAGTTACATACATAATATTTTGGAATAAGTGCATTAAAGAAAAAATGTTAAATTGGACAAAAAATGACTACTTCAAATCTGCAAGTACAGACTATTCCTTGAAGTAACATTTGATTGTTGATTAATGAAACAAGCTCATGCTGAGTAAGTAACTTTTTCTAATAATGTATTATTAAAAGTACAGTAAATGTATTAATGTTTTTTTTTATAAGTTTACACTTAAGTACTTTAACTGTGTTGTAACAAAACATAAATATAACAATCTGAAATGTAATTTAGAAATTAATTTAAAAACATAATACTAAACACATAAAAGTAAGTACATAAAAACCTAAAGTTGTTCCACAATTTTTAAACTAATATAATGAACAAGTGAATGATCAAAGAAAAAAAAATGTTAGGTTACTTTGAGAGGATGGATTCCCAGGTATGGCTATACATAATTCAATCAAGATTATTATCTTACATTAAGTATAGCAATCTTACATTTACGTCACACTTTTACAAGTGTACAGATAAAATTTACACATATTCTGTAAGGGGTTTCAAATGGTAATGTGATATTTATACAAGATAGTTTGATTTATATGTTATGCATGTACGGTATATTTGGCAGAGCTAAAAAATCTTTGTTACCTGTTTTTGGAAGAATAATGTCTTTGATAAACACTTAACATTCTATGTAGTATACTAACTATTGTTTATAACCTGTCACTAATTTAAAAACTCTGCTAAAGCATTTTCTTGAAAAGCATTTGAGCAAATTGTAGAAAAAATAAACTTAATACATAGCTAAATATGGATTAGTCCACTAGCTGTATCCATAAAAACTTTACAAAAACGTAAAAACAAAAACAAATTTGTAAATCATGTATTAGGGACAAATGATTTTTAAGAAACTTCACACAGGAATAATTTTTGCTTTAGTTATCACTTGTTAAACTCCGTGAATATTCAGTAAACATCTTGAAAATAGCATGCAATCAAAATCATTTATCCTGTGCACCTTCAATCAACATTGTTACTATTGGTAAATTACCTGTATCTACCTGTAAAGCTGGTAGATTAATTTATTAAAAAGTAAAATAAGGTTTACGTTCAAAGAACATTACTTTTAAGTATCTGTGAAATATTTAAAAAACAAAAAAATATCAATCTAAAATCCACACAGTAGCTGCCTTTGTTTCTATAGAATGCTTTTTCTTATATATATATTTAAAGTGAAATAAATGGCATGCAAATATTTAGAAACATAGCATTTTATGGTTACAGGAACTGTCACCATTTATGAACTAATATGAAACAAAGAGCTATAGTATAATCCACTAAAAACAGATTAAAATAATGGCAATTAAATATAAGTAAGTTGTATTAAACAATTATACTCTACAGGCACTTTTATCAAAACATCCCAGCTGACTTCTTGGTTTGGTGGCACATGTACATCCACTGAGCATCTGAAGCAAGATACATCAATACTGTTTTCTGCTCAAGACAAACAGCAATTATTCCTTACATATTAAAATATGTCAATTTCTAGTAGAATCTTGTTTACTTACTGCAAAGACAGTAAGACTCATTGATAGGTCATATATTAATCTATATTGATTGCAACATTTATACAAGCCACTGCACTATTAGATATCAACACTAACATGATTTTTAAACAAGAACAGTTCTTGCAGGTTTTTCCCTAGCCAACTGATCTAATTTATCAAATAAGGTTGTGACAAGTAATATTGCCCAGTTATGATGATGACTATAACATAATTTATAACTGAGAAACAACTGTGGCAGACAACTATACCTCTACTTAGTTATGGAAAAATTGATTTATTTCTCAAACACGAACAACTGTGGCAAACCGTTTTTGAAAGTCTTGATGATAGAATCTTGGTTTATCCAAATGGTGTTATTGTAACAGTCAGTTTTATCCAGTCAAAGGAACAGCTGAAAGAAATTGTGGCAGGTAATTTCCTCCAGCATGGTAATATCCACCTGATTTCTTTATCAAGCAGAAACAGTTATTACGACTGCAACTTTCTAACTATACCGAACAGAGAAGTTTTTATTGTGACAACTGTGTCTGGATTCATACAGCTGTTTTTCTCTCAAGGCAATTTCTTGTCCTTAAGAACTAGCTCAGATTCACTCTCTTCACACAAACATTGAAATGGCTCTAAAAACAAGATGAGGCACTAGTTAAAATCCATTCTAGCTGAATGACTGGCTGAACACAAAATTTCTCCTCAAAGGTTGGCAATGTAGGAACCACACACAACACATTCAACAAGTTATGCTTCTTTTATTCAAAGTGGGGTGTCACCCATGTCATAAAGTTTGTGAGTATGAATATAATCCAACATTCCCTGGTAAAGAAACTCATAGTGAGCCTGTAAGAGTAAAGAGAAAAAAACAACAACAAAAAGTTAAAAAAACATAGTTTTGAGATATGTTCCTGTCACTGAGACAGATTCATGTTTTTGGGATTTAAGGTTAAAGTAATAAAATAATTTCACATAATTTTCAAAATCAAATAATTTCTCTCTCTCTCTTGAAGCAACCTGTCAAACTGTAAAGTTAATTTACACTTAAGAAGTACTTCCAAATAAACAAATTTAACTTTCTTTAACTTTCAATAGAAAAAAAAAACCCTCTGGAATCTTTTTAATAACAGAGTTCTCATTTAACTAAGAGTAGCTACCAGTGTTTTCAGCATGCATTGACGCTGAGAGCGTGTGTATCTTGCAGCTTGGAAGACATCTACTCTTTCTTCATTCTTCAGCTGTTGGATAAGTACACTTAAGGTGACAAATATGCTACTCCGGTCACCACCTCCACTGCAAGTAGATTTTTACATCTCATTAGAAAAAAGCATAATGTTTTAATTTCTCTCTTCATGTCAAAAGGATCAAATGATTAAGGCTGTGTGTGTGTTTATATAGTGCAATAAAAGCAAGAACAAAGAAACCTTGTACGCATACTTACATCACACTTACTAGTGTGTACATTAGTCATATCATACCATCAAGTGATTAATATGAATTTTTTAGTTTCACAGTTTTTTGTTTGCAAACTTAAGACTACAAAAACCTAAACGTTTACAAACCTGCAGTGTACAGTAACAGGACCACTACTAGGGTCCTGTTCTTTGTTCTGTTGAGCTTGTTCAATTAAGTCAATAAAGGCTATTGTGTTTTCTGGAACTGTACTGGACCAGCCAAGGAATTGGAACTGGGTGAGAGTATGGTTGTCATTGTTCTGTAATAAAAGAATATAATTTAATTTCAAAACATTCCATATATGTTAGAATCACGCATTCACACAATATCAATCCTTAGTATGAGACTTTGGCTTGTATACACACACACACATGTATACATTTAACTGAGATGATTTATTTCCTGGGAGAATAAAACCCATAAAAAAACAATTTTTAACTATTTTATATCTACTGTTTTTCTTGGCAAACACATGTTTTCCTGATAATTCTGACCTCTATATTGCTTATGACTGAATACTTTCATCTCCCTAAAGCATAAATCTATATTGTTAGTAGAAAAATGTATCACAAAATTAATACACAAATGAATGGTAAATTCCAAAAATACAAACAATATGTACGGCTTATGTAAACATAATGAGCACCAAACTCATTTCAGCTTCTAAGAAAATCCAAATTCTGAAATATTATTAAATTCCCAGATGCTATTTTCGTTTCAACCACCTCTCCTTAAAGTATGCTTAGTCTCATTCTGAAATTATAGCTTAATACAATGTTAAGAATAGCATTTTGTCAGACACATTATCCTATTAGAATGTTTAATCCACAGTATTTAACACAAAGTTTTAAAAGTTGTGAATGTTGTACGCATGAGCTTTTGTTACTGTTATCTTATTATCATAATATAGCTCTCTGTGAATAAAATACAAAAGTACCTTTTTAAATAGTCAGTATCTTTCTCAGAGTCGTATAAAATCATCTGACATCTTAGCACATTTTTCTGTAAACCATGTGTACCTTATAAAATTCCACATAAATTCCAAATAAGCAATTTTGTTTTCGTTCATATAACACATGAATTATTGGATATCGGCTGAAGTTCTTGTTTCTAATACACAGTTGTTGGAATAGACTTATTTAAATACACGAAGGAAACAATAATTGTAGTTGATTTATATGCACAACAAGAAACCCTCTTAATAATGTTTAATAGTTCTTTATAGAATTATCCACAAGATAAAACAAACCCTAGTTTTACACACAAACTTTTCATAGGTAACAAATTTTAATAAGTTCAAACTATTCCAAAATAAAACAACCCCCGATTTTTCAAACTTTTCATAAAGAGACCTTATTTCCGGGTTTTGCACCATCTGCACAACACCATTCTGTCTGTGTTTCAAAAATGTCACAGTTGATCTCTTTCATAGAGTAGATGGATGATTAAAAGCAATTGCAAAGAAAGTACTTGGCTATATAGAAAAATGTTAAAATGAGCATGAGAACAATACAAAATTCCCTCATCAGTCACCACAACGTGCAAAAGCATAGGTACATGAGATGTATTAACACCTGCAAGCAAAGCTATTTCTCCAATCAAGGAATCTCATTACTTATCAATGGCAACAAGTGAGAGACACATTGCCAAACATAATAAGTACTACTATGCTTAGTAGTATGTAGATCCTGCACGTTACAAACTGTGTTAAGTAATGTGATAGCATCGATAGAGATCAATACTTTGAGGAACTGTTCCTTAGAAGAATAATACTTTTATAATGCCAGTTTATAAACTGGAACAATATGTGTTCTAGGAAAACAAAAATGTGAAATTTATACAGAAAATCTGGGAAGTGATACAATAAATTATCCACTAATGCTTATTAGCAACAATTAGCATAATTATGATATAATAAAAAAACACAAGTATATTTTTTCATAAATTTATTAAGGTCATTTCAAGGTGTAATTTTTGCCTGATATAATCCCAATTTAGTTCCCATTAAAGTTACATTTTGTGGATGGGTCTATTACAAATCATGAGAATAACATGGGTGAAAGTATTGCTGATCAGTAAACGCATAAACATCTGGGTATGTTTTGGGGCATTTTTGAAAGAAAAAGTTTAAAAAATTTTATTACACAGGGTCACTGGAGTTACTGCAAAAACAGTTTTGTTCCCCTAGACATCATGAATGCTATGCTGCAATCACTAACTTATTCTTTCCATAAAATGTCTGTTCTTGGAAAAGTCTAATATTTTAATACAAACTACAGGATACCAAACAAGTTTACATTTTGTAATGAAAGTGTCTTTAATATAGTACAATAATTCCTATCTTGTTAGATTTTTAAAGTGAATATCTAGAAGAGCTTTTTTCAAAAATGTGTTTGAAAATGATAAAAGCATCTGTACCTATGTGTTAATGAAACAAATATCTGTACCTTTATGTTAATGAAACAAATATCTGTACCTTTATGTTAATGAAAAAGTACCTTTACCTTTATGTTAATAAAAAAGTACCTTTACTTTTGTGTTAATGAAAAAAATATCTGTACCTTTGTGTTAATAACTTGAAATTCTCTTTTGGTAATATTTTCCCTAGTCTCCTCATTCTGGAACTTGACTTTTATGTAATCATATTCTTTTTCTTCTTCTCTTGGCCAGTACTGCTGACATTTTGTCTACACATGGACAAAATATTAAACAGAGACATGTACAAAAAACAATCTCATAATCTATAAACTGTTGTATAAGCAAATTGCAAACAGACATTAACTTAGTTAATTTTAGAAAATAATTAATTAGTCGATTTAACCATTGTAAAAAGTAGTGTTTACCCAGTGCTTTTAATAAAGTTTACCTAAAATAGGTTTCATCATCAAAAAATACTATTTGTGATGAGAAAAATATCAACTTTTCTTGACATACACAAAACATAAAACTCCGAGTTCATTTGTTTAATATATGTATATAACCATACACACACATGTACAAGTTTAATTTTCTTACAGAAAATGATAAATATCTACAATATAGTTACTTTTGTGAGGTGAATTAATAAATAACTATCGTATTTTTCTCACCAGTAAAATTTAAATGATTCTTCATGAATTATGTAAGTTACTCAATATTCAAAACTTCACTTTACAAACATATAAATATTTACAAGTACCTGTCCTTCACCAAGTTCAGACAGCATCACTACAGTTGTAATAGTTTGTTCCTTTACCATTCTCCAGAACTCAGTCACTGTGTTCTCTAGTGGGTCTTGGGTAATAATGAAGGATAGTGAACGATCATAACCCTGTGAAAAAAACAACAACATTTATTACATTTCATATAAAACTGAAACTTTTAAACACTATCAATAAATCTCTAACTTTAGTATTCAAGTAAATCGGTCATGTTCCTTAGTCCTTTTCAGTTTAAATAATAAGTAATAAAGCAGACAATTTTTCACATGTGCAACAAATCTTATAATTTTCTGACACTAAATTACTAAAGCAGGAGTGATGTAAAATTCGATACAGCTTCAGTTTTGTATTTCTTTTGCACAAAGTAATACTTTTTGAGATAAAGCAGACAATTTTTCACATGTGCAACAAATCTTATAATTTTCTGACACTAAATTACTAAAGCAGGAGTGATGTAAAATTCGATACAGCTTCAGTTTTGTATTTCTTTTGCACAAAGTAATACTTTTTGAGATCCGTTTGTTCGTGAATCTACACACAAAATATAAAAATAAGCACATCTAACCTGAATAAATGATGCATTGATATAGGATGAATGGTCTCGAGAAGCAGTTGGAGGAAGAATGACTCTGTTAATGTCATCTACAGGAGAAAAAATAAATAATGTATCTTTGTTTTTTTTTATCATAGATGCTATAAAAGAACAATTTTTTTTTAGTTACTGCAATAATCACTAACTGAACATTAGTTTTGGTATTATCTTTATAATGAACAACTGTTTTGTTTACAGTTTAAGAGAGTAAAGTAATAGGTATTTTGATAAACATACTGTGATGCAATGAAGAAACAGATTTTAAGATGACTAAGAAATGCCAATAATCTGTATAAATAATACATTTGTGTTTGTCTGTCTGGAACTTTTCTTGTAAATTTCTTGATCAAACACTATAAATCTCACATCATTAGAAAGGCTTTTGTAGAAAAAAGTCTTTCAGATATTGGCTTTTCCATTCAGAATCACCTTACCTGTTTTTTGCTTTGTCAAACTTTTCAGTGCAACAAGTATGGTACATGATGACACAATGTTGTTGTCATCAGGTGAGGATTGGCTTTGATTTCAACTTTAGTTTTTTTATTTGCAAAGTATTTCACACAAACAACACTTAACCCATGTGTAATTTCCTTAAAAAAATGAACATTACACTAAATACAAATTCTATGGGCTTTCTCGACTTATTTAGGTCTAAGATATGCATTTGCAGTTCAAAACCATATGCTTATCACTTTGTGAATACACATTCAGATGTTTCTGTATATTCAGCTAAGTTTGCTTTCATTTACTTTACTTTGCAATAATTGAGCTTCGGTTCATCTCATAGACTGCTATAAACACCTTTTAGCTACATTTTTTCTTTACTACAGATTTTACTCTTCATGTTTGTTAGTTTCTTTGTTTCAACTTGTAAAACCATATCATACACTGAATGCTCATAAGAGTTTCATACTCTGTACACTACTATAAATACCATTGCTTTATTGTTTATGTGTACTTTTATTAATAAAGTTACGTCTACATGAGTTTGTTTGTTTGACCACATAAAATTTTTTCAAATAGATGAGGATTTATCGATCTAATGCATAATGCCCGCAAGAAAGCATGGCTTAAATGGTATGCATGAAAATAATGGAATAAGGAAAATTCAAACTACTGCTAATGTTTTGTGGGTTGTAGCTAGTACATTACTAATTCTTGTGACTGCTATGATCACAAGTTCACTATATTAAATATTCATCTATTAACACATTTTAAATCATAGAATTATTGTAATTTAGTGTTTACTAAAACAAACTGTCCTGTGATTCTAGCCTTATTGAACTAGTTAAAAAAATTACTTGTTGACTGTTTTACATAAACAGCTTTAAAATATACTTATTTTTACTGTCATTGTTGTTTTGTAGCTTAAAGCTACACTTGTGCTGTCTGCACTATGTACACCACAAGGAATCAAACCTTGGATTCTAGAGTTGTAAGTTTATAAATTGACAGTTACATTTAATTTTAACCACAGTACAGTATATTAAAAATAAATTTTTAATTACAAAATTGGCAAAATATAAGTTATCAATTGTCAGTAATACTAAGTACATGTAGTATGAAAAGAAAAACACAAATATATACACAAAAAAGTACTGACATACATGGAATGATGAAATTATGTCTATTCTTGTTCATGTTCATGTCCATGGTACCCACACAGCAGGTTTTAGGATCTTCAATCACATCCCCGAGTTTCTGAAACACGATAAATCTGGTTATAATGAAAGATCAGATGAATTTTATGTACAAATTTACTGATAGAAATTAGAAATATTACATAAATTTTGAAACTGTTCACAAAATATCCACGAAAAGTTATGAATATTAGTAATTTTCCACATTTAAATTTGGATGACTTGATAACACAATTTTGACAACCAAGTTTATCAATAACTAAAAACAAACTATACATTTCTTTCATTCAAATAATATTGATTTTCATCTCAAAAAATCAATCAATTTTCAGAAACAAACCTCAAATTCGAGTTCTAGGCGAGTTTTTTCCTGATCTCCTACTTTTTCTTTCATATGTTCATAATGATCCTTGAAATGCCTTATCTCCATTTCTGTGTCTCCAAACTGGGCATGCTCCAGCAAAGCTCGGTAAACAAATATGTATTGTTTCTACCACGTTAGAAGATAAGTCCATTAATTATGTTTCTAACAGAAAATGGAATTTCTTTTGGTATACATATACATAACTCTATTGTAGTAAATCCCTATTAATTACCTTCAAGTCAGATCAATTTCCTACTGATCTTATCACATCATGATCCAATACATTAGCAAACATGCTAGTAGGTTTGTGATTACTTCAAAATTAATATTAGTCAAAAAAAAAAGGTTCAAAAATTGTTTTGGAACAAAACAATGACATAAGTTCATATTATACTACTGCTTATTACAATACTAACATAGTGTTAAAACTGTATATTACAGTTTATCCTAATATTACTAGGGTACAAAAACTGTAAACCATAGTTTATCATAAAGTGTTATAGTATGATACTTACTAAACTTCACCTTTATCAGGGCATGGTTTGGGATAATGCCAATTAAGTATTCTGAATGAAATGAACTTACTGCTAACATAAGATACGCTAGCACTTAATAATGTCACCACTGTGGTCAAGATTAATCTGTAGACGAATATGGTTTTACTTAACGTTAAGAAACATCATTTAATCGTAACCTGATTTAATAATGAAGTGATAAATAAATCAAACACTGTCTTGCTTATGTTTTAATGGCATTTGTTAATACCATACAATTGTTTTCTTATGTTAAGCAACCGTAGTTAACTGCTATAACTCATCTGATCTTTAATAATCTCAATACAAAACTGTCTCTGTCATAAGAAATATTGAAAATTTATTATATATATACATATATATATATACACACGTACACATACACACACACACACACATATATATGATACACATCTACAAATACATATATATATTTGTTGTTTATTTGAGGGTAGACATATACAGTATTATACTCATGTAATGTGACTAAAGGTAAAAAGGCATCACTTGTAAAATTTTTGGTAGTTAATGTCTGACACGTGTGTGTGGAAACTGTAGTAGTATACCATTTTGTTTTACTAAGGTTTTATTCTTATTTACTAAATATTCACCATCATTTACCTAGGTTAAGTCATAGCTTACTAGAGGCTTCATTGTGGTTTGCTGGGGTTTTATTACAGTTCACTTGAGTTTTCATTATAGTTTATTAGGATTTTCTCCATAGTTTACTCGAGCTTTCATCCTGAATTACTACAATGTTTTTCATGATGGTTTACAAGGATGTTTAATGTTGATTACTAAAGTTTACATGTGGAATTATTAATGCTTTTTTCCATGGGTTACTAGTTTTCACACTGAACTACTAATGTTGGGTTATTATAGTTTTAATTTAGATTACTAGAATTTTCATCATAGTTTCTAGGATTTTTACATTAAATTACTAATTTTCTTCTGTGAGTTACTGCAGTTTTTATTATGATTTACTAGTATTTTTACAGTTTGGGTTACTGCAGTTTTCATTATGTATTTACTCATGTTTTCACAGTGTGGATTACTGTGCTTTGATTAGAGGGTATCATACTTTTGTGTTAAATTCATTTCTTGAACATGATAAAAGTTTTCATCATGATTTGCTCCTGGTGGCTTTGAGGGCTTGTAATGTTAAAAATCAATCCATGCAGTGGGCACAGCACAAACAGCCCATTCTATAGCTTTGTGCTTAATAGAAAATAAACATCGTGATTTACTGGTATTTTAACATTTTGGGTTACTACAGTTTTTGTCATGGTTTATTAATTTTTCATTTGTATAGCTACAGTTTAGACATTTGATTGAGAAAGTTTTTCCTCTGTGTGTGTGATACTATAGTGTTTATCATGATTTACTAGGATTTTCATTCTGGGTTAAGTTTTCACCCTGACTTTTGAAGGTTTCTACCTAGGTTTAAGCCACATTTGACATTACAGTTCACCACATAGCTTTATCAAAACACAGTGGTGTATACATTTATGTTTTTGTTATGGCGTACCACAGTTTCTTTTCATAAGGGTAATTTGAATAGGTATACAAAATTATTCAAACTGTGTTCTGTATATATATGTATGTGTGTGTGTGTGTGTGTGTGTGCATAAATAAAAATCAGGATTGGACCAAATGATGGAAACACCTCACATTTTTATTTCAAGTTTTTCTTGGTGGCTATAAGTGAGGAAGATGAAGCCATATGTAATTTAACCATGCTTAAATTATGCTATATCACTGAATTTGTCTGTATGCCAATAGTACATTATTGTTTTTCCATCAAGACAGGTTCTAAAACTGTTAAGTTACAAAACATTTGTCAGGTTTCCAAAGAGGTATGATTATAGATAAATGTCTAGCTGGATTCTCAGTGACACGAACACCTAAAATAATGAATATAATACAAGAAATAGTGTCACAAGTGATGTCGGCATGGTTACTGAAAAAATTAAACCATCAATTTCATGTCATATTATTGCCGTATTTTCTGCTCATAGAATATTCGTTTCTTATTAATCAATAAAATGTGGAAATTAACAGGTGTTTCCATTACTTTGTCCAACCCTTGTGCATATGTATGTGTGTGTGTGTGTGTGTGTAGTTATTTAAGTAAGCTACAAAAGATTTTGTAAACAAATTACAACAAAAGGGAGGATAGTGGGAATTTTACACAGCTTATCCAAACTTTAGATGAAATATAATTAAGTTTAATTTTACATTTTATAGAAAAGGAAAAGAAAAAAGTAAATAAATATATGAAAAATATACTTGAAAAAATAATAGTAATAAAAAATAAGAAACACAGCCAAAAACAAACATCCAACACCAGGGCACAAATCATAGGGTGGGTCATTAGGTAATGTGCCCTGGTTTTTTTGTTGTACTGGCAGAATTAAGAACCCCACTGATGTATTGTATTCTATTTTATTATCTTTCTTACTAATGTTTTTATTTTATCTATTTATTTTTTGTGAGCAACCATCTTCCCACTTCTGTCTGCAGGCAGCAAAAGGTGGTAAAGATGTGGAATGTCGTGGGTTAAAGCACCAACACATCTGCTCCTTTTCTTTTAAGAATGTGAGGCTGGTGAAGTTGAGGTTAAACTGGATAGACGATGTACCCCCAATGCAACTTCAGTCATACTTCTGCCAGTACCTGAAAAACCAGGGCACATTACATAATGACCACCCTATGATTTGTGCCTCGGTTTTGGATGTTTGTTTTGATGCTGTGTTTATTTTTTTTTTACTTTACTATTTTTTTTGGTATCTTTTCCATTTCTTTATTCACTTATTGATATTCTTTTTTTATAAAATTACAATATACATGTATGAAGATATGTCCAATCAATCATTGAGAGTACATTTAAAATATTTAATTTTTAATAAACATTTAATACAAAAATACAACAGAATTTTTCTTTAGTTAAGCAATCCAACCCAGGTTTTTAGGTTTTTTAAAGATATTTACATATGTATATATACACATGCACATGTATACATTTCTGTATGCATAAATACTCATATGAACCTCAAAGTGGGCATTACATGAATATTACTAATCCATGCTAGCAAATGATGCCTATTAAAAAGAACTCATTATATGAAAGAAACAATATGTTTTTTTTACATGCATATATGTAAATTTTTTTCTTTAGCTTCTTACATTTGAAATCTTGATATTTTATTTTTAATAAGGAAATAAACGTTTTCAAAAAAATCTTATTAATAAAAAAAAATATCACAAATTATGAATAACTGAATAATCAGCTTAAAAACAAGCCAATAACATCTGTAAATTACAATTTTATATCATTTATTCCAAAGACGAAAATTATTATTTTTCAACAATGTGAAAGTTTTTATTACAGTGTCTGAAATCTATTTCTCACAATCTTGTTAGATAGCAAATTCAATTTCTTTTTTTATTGATTATGGTTGTGTTTATTGTTCATTCATTATTAATTTCTATCATTTAGTTTATTTATGAATTTTTAGTTGCATTAAAAAGTATTTGTATTTTTAGTAAATAAATGTTTGTATGATGAAACTGACACCAGCTTCCCTGGCGGTGACATACAAATATTATTAATGTAGCAGATGATTATTTAAATTTATTATTACATAAGGTTGTTCTCTTGTGACCTACTTAGTGACTAAATACCCTGCCAGAAGCTTCATTAACAAAGAGAGAGTCTCAAGAAAGTTATTAAAGGATATAGTTATTGCTGTTTGTCACTTGATATTGAAAGGTATTGTTTGAATATTGTATTTGCTGTATTTTTTTTGGAATCAGTTTTTTTTTCTGGTTCTTTTTCTTGATTTATTAATATTTATAATAAATTGTTTATTAAGTAATATTGGTGTGAAGTCCTGGCCATGCACTTATTTAGTAACTGTGTTTTACCAGGTGTTGAATTTATTTCTAAGTGTTACTATTGTGAATAAATTGTGTTTTTGTTGTTGAGCCCTAATTGTAGAGGCATGTTTATTTTAGACCGTTACAAACTAAGGACAAAATTTTAGTCTTTTCTTTTTTTCAACATCACAACAAAATGGTCAATAAATAAACATTACTGACAGAAAAAACTCCTGCCAGCTGTTATGTAAAATTAAATAATTATTGACTGTTATTAAACATGCTTGGAGTATTAATATCTTACTTTCAACTACGTCACACAATAATTTACACAAACTCACCATTACAAAAGGAACTTATGAATTTTTTTAAAGCTTACCAAAGATTGGACAAGAAAGTTGCGGGAGTGCCTCAAATTACTCACACATCCATACACATCCACTTGACCTTCCTCACCTAACTGTTGTACAAGTGTGTCTATAGCAACAAATGTTCCCGTTCTTCCAACCCCAGCACTAAAATCAGGAAAAAAAAATTATGTTGATCTATTTCATAAAATAGCATTTATATAAAATTAATAAAATATTAAAAACAAAAGAAAACAACCAGTTATGGTGGAATTTTTTTTTTTTTTTTTACTTTCTACTTGAATTGAATAAAGGAAAAAAAAACTGTCAAGAAAGTTTATTCAGGTAACAACTGTTTTGCCCAACAAACAGCTGAAGTAAAAAAAATTGTCTTGGAGGTATCATTTAAATTTTAAATTCCCCAATAACAATTTTCTTATGAGACTTATCAATTGCATTTTAAAATTCTTGTCGGAAAATAACTTTTATGTTCAGTGAGTTAATGAAGTATGACTATGTCGTATAACTTGCTAATGTACTCATTAAATGCATGCAGAAAATATAGGGTTTTCTGGTGAAGGAGAGGAGGGCTGATCTGAATAATGACTCCCCCATGTCACTCTCTAAAGATGCATACTTGTTATTAAATGTAGTTATTTGCACTCGAACTCTGAATAGTTCACATGCAATGTGATTTTCATTTTGAGTAGAAAAATACTATTTCTTATCTTACAGTTTTTATATTTTACTTGCATAATCTCTAGAGCCTCCTAAATGCATATCAAAGTTTTTTAAGGTGAATGTTTAAATTTTATTTTCCATTTTCTCTTAGTTCTATATCACAATGGGCTAAGCTTCTATTCTATCACATGCTACAGATTCACACATTAGTAGAGGTTTCTTCAGGATATAGCTTAATAGTGGGAAATCTGCTCTTTCTGTTGGCTATAAGCATGCCATTCAACTTCAAACTGTCGCTTAGCAACACAACTTCAACTTTGCAAGTGAGCATGGCTGACCTTAAACTTAGAAATATTTAGAATGTTTCACACGTGGGACAAATTCTTGGAAGGTCTCCAGATGGTAATGAAATACATATGGAAGTAAACTCTGACTGTTGGAGCTGACAGTCTATATTAGCTACTAACAGTTCATTGATAAGAGCTCTTAAAATTGAGAATTGTAACCTCGAATGGGTCAGGTGACAGCAAAAAATGCAGTTTTAATTCCTGTCTTAGAAGTTTCTTTTAAAATAAAGGAATAAAACCTAGATAATATAAAACTTTAAATTATGACGTACTTGATAACAATAATCTTATAATAATACATTTATAGTAGTGGTTTAATTAAATTTTGAATGTAACTCAGTAACATGCACAGAAGGAGGTTAACAGGGTTTAAAAAGTGGCATCACTGCTATAGAGTTACGGATGCATTTTAAGTTCGTTGAGATCAGTCAAAAAGTGTAGGTGTGAAAAGCATACACACAGATGAATTTATTCTAATTTATACAAATAGATTCTTTGAAGTATCAGGTTTTAAATATTTCAGTACAAACATTTGACAAAAAAGAATTAAAATTCATGCAATTAATTTCATGTAGTCCTTAGCTACATTAGGTTTTGCACATGATAATGAAATAGTCTTGGCTTTATTTTTGTCATGTTTAATAATACCAATAACTTTGGAAAATATTTAGATCTTCATGAATTTAAAACCGGGAATTAGAAAGTATTTTACAAACTGAACTCTATTACTACACTGAAGGTACCAACATATACAGGGTGTCCCAAAAGTTTGGACCCATATAGAAAATAGATATTATATTGTTAAAGTTAAACAAACATATTTCTAATGTCAGTTGTACATACTTAAGAAAAAATATATCCTGATGGCACAGTATACCATGGTTTTATATGTGTATGGCTGTTAATGGCATGCAATTTGAATAATAAATAAATAAAGAATAAATTGTGTATTTTTCCTTGTTGTTCCAGACTTCTGGGACATCCTATATATAAATACATACCTTAACACAAATATTTATATATGTACCATATTGTTCATTATCAAATTTATGGACTACAACATATATCAACTTCATTACTACCATTCTTTGACAGCAGTATCACCTGCATTTATTGTCAATTTCTTTGGAAAGAAAACTAGCATGAAAATAATGTAAGAAACTAAATAAAATGTTGAAAAACAAAAACAATGATGACCTGCAGTGGACTAGAAGAGGACCTCTGTCTGAAACATAGTGTTCATTGACTCGTTTGATAAATCGAAGAAGCCAAGATGGTTGCTCTGGAGCTAGGAAATCCTTCCACATAACAAAATGGAAATGAAGAATCTCCCTTTCTTCTGCATAGTCATCCTACAGTACAGGAAAAGTCGGTTCAAGTTTTACTGTTAGAATAATTCTACAAGATTCAATGGAATTAAAACTGTACATTTTACTTTGACGACATTTTCTTTCAATACTTCATATCTTGGCTGTGAAAATGAGTTACACGAGTTTACTATAATGTGTCACTACTCCCTCCACATCACTGAAAAAAATTTAACTTCAAAATGCATACTTGCCAACTCTCATGATTTGGTTAGGAGTTTCCCAAATTTGGACCTTGGACCCGACCTATTGATCGGTTTTTAAAAATTAGTCATTTCTACCGATTTTAGGCATGTACACCGATTTTTTCTGGAAATCTACCAATTTGTGTAACTATAATTAATTTTTTTTTTTACATTTAAAATTTCCCAGTAAACATCAGCCAATCGTTTGCTCTCTATAGCAAAACCAGTTGAGTAAACACGTGATTCATACCAGAAATTGGGCTTCACTTTCTTCTTGGCCAATTAAAACTGATTATACAAATAAGACAAAGCGTGATTGTTCACGTGAATACTAAAAATGGCTTTGTTGGCAGAGAATAGAAAATGTTACGAGTGCACATTCCAGACATCTTGGGAAACAGAATTTCCCCGGGTGGCCAAATGTACTTCAAAAACACATGCATTTTGCAAGATAGGCCTATTTTATTTTATACTTGACGTTTATAAAATGCTTTAACTCTCTGACTGATTATGTAGTATCCTTAATTATAATTAAGTTGATTCTTTTTATTGCAACTAAAAAATTTTTAAATGCCTAGGCTAGGGGAACCCCTGCCCTAATTTTTATTCTTCATTGTTTAGTTAGATTAAAATTCCTAAGTTTCTTATTGTGTTATTCCAGATTTGCAACAGAACTTTTACCATTAGTCATGGTGACAAGAACGACCTGAGGAAGCATAGTCAGACAACATTGAACATTACCACCCAGAATGCAAAGACAAACACCTCCTCAGTTGCATCAGTTTTTGTGAACCCAACAACAGATGCCAGTGTTATCAGAGTAGAGGTTCTATTCAGCAACTTCATCACAGAGCACAACATAGCCTTCAACGTTGCTGACCATTTTACCAAGCTTTTTAAGATGATGTTTCCTGACTCCAAGATAGCTCACAAGTTTCACTGCGGTCATACAAAGACAACACAGGTGGCCAAGACACCGTTAGCTCCAGCCTTGCACAATGAAGTTGTGGATCACCATAGGAGGCAACCATTTTCACTTATATGTGACGAGAGTAACGACACCAACTCAGAGAAGACCCTTGCCATTCTTGCAAGATATTTTACTGACAGAGCAGCTACTAGATTCCTTGCCATTCTCAGTTGCAAAATTGGAACAGGGGAAAATATCTTTCAGCACATTCAGAAGGTTTTTCTCACCTATGATATTCCCTGAACCAACCTTGTTTTTTTTATGTCAGACAACTGTAGTGTGATGACTGGTAGGCATAATTCTGTAATTAGTAGGATAGGTTTGCCCAGTTGTTTTCGATTTGGGATGTGTATGTCATTTAGACAACCTTTGTGTACCTGCTGGTGTCAAGTGCCAAATCTCTTGATTGATGTGTTTTATCAGTTCCAACATAGTTCTAAAAGAAAGGTACAGTACCAGGAGTTTGTTGACTTTACCAAGACAGAACCACTAAAGATCTTGAAGCATTGTTCAACAAGATGGTTGAGCTTACATAGGACAGTTCAACAACTATTACACTACTGGCTAGCCCTTCATTCTTATTTTCTGTCCCATGAGGATTCAGAGAGACCAGGGAAAGTGAAGAGGGTGACAGAGAGTGTTGCAAGCCATGAGATGCACCTACACTTCTGCTTCCTCAGCTATATCCTCCCATTTCTAGTCATCTTTAACACCATATTAGATGATTCCAGGATTGGTATGTTGGGTGGTGTCATCAACACCAGGGTCATCCAGAGTACAGAAGACATCACCACCTGGATGATGATTTATTGGCTGTTGGTATGCCTGCCAGGAGCTACATAGCATCTCATGAAGATGAATTGGAGCCCTTCATGATGGACAGATTCTTTAAGGTGATCAGATGTTTTTATACTGCTGTTGTTGACAAGATGCTGGCCAAGTTCTCCTTTAAAGATCCTGTGGTGAATTCTCTTGGTTTCCTTTTGCCAGAACAGAGAATAGACATGAAACCAGCAGATATCATTGATCTGTGTCAGAAATTCCATTCTATCATTCCTGTAGATGACCATCAGCCTGTAGAGGAGGAATTTAGAGACTTTCAGCTTTGCCATGATAGTGATTTTCAACCTGCAGATACCTCAGTTGATGTATTCTGGGAAGATGTCAGGAAGACGACAGACCCCATTACCAAACAGGAGAAATTCCCCCATCTGGGTAGATTGGCTAAGGCCATGTGTTCCATTCCTAACAGTAATGCAGAGTGTGAATGAGTTTTCTCCATGGTCAAAAAGATTCAGACTGACCAGAGATCCCTACTAGACATAACAACATTAAAGGCTTTATTGAGAACCAAGATCAACAGAGATGAGGAGTGTTTCCAGTTTAAGCCTTCTGCAACAGTGTTAAAGAGTGCCTGTAAGGAATATGATAGAAATCTCGACTCTTTGAAGAAGGGTTTTGCACAAGTTCTGTATTTGTGATTGATAGTTTATTAACTAGTGTCTGTCAATACAATAAAATTTTATGTAACTGTTACTTGTTCATTTAACTCCCTCACTGGTTTATGGAAGTAAAAAAAACAACATTGTGTTAAGATTAAGTCTGAGATTTACAAAAATGAAAATATGATATCTTGAGACCTGCAGAATTGAAAACAAATGATAAAATCAAAGAATGCATGGGTATTTGCAAACTGATGGGCTTTAAACCAGTTTTGCTTGTAAATTGCTTGATTTGCCATGAGTCATGCAAAATCTCCCCCATGAGAACTTTGAAAAGTTGGCAAGTATGAAAAATGAGTTTTGTAAAATCACACATACATATGATAAAGTATAATGCAACTACTTCTGACGAGTTTCATTATTAAATTGGTTTTGTAGTTTGTACCACTAACACCAATTACAATGCAATCATTTGTGAACAAAAGAAATTAACTATATGAAAATATATTAAAATTAGATCTAGTGAAAATTAAATTTTATAGCTGTTGTGCCTGCATTTGTTTTATCCAAAAAGAACAGTTGAAAAATAACATTTTGTTAATATTTAAACAATATTCATAAACACAAAAAAAAACTAATATTTTCATTTCTATAGATACTGAAGGCATACCTTTAAAAATTGGACATGAAACCTTCGAACAATGTAGTCAGAATATGTCTTAGTTGTAATAACATTCACAACAAATAGATTTTCAATTTCCTTTGATTCACTTTCATTCCAATACTGGGCACATTTGATCTGCAGATCAAGAATTAATATCATATTATAACATAAGTTTATCAGGCAAATATAAATAAATGCATAAATTATATTTATCTATAAGTTCAGATAAGTTAATCACAACTTTTAATTTGCAAACTTTCAACAAACTGAAAATAGATTTATAAGAGACACTGAAGTTTTTAATAGGATGTTATAATAGTTCAAATATTTTTTTCAATCAATTTTATTTGCATCAAAATTAGTTTATGTTAGCATGCTCTTATAAATCACTGAAAGTAAAAAGATCCTTAAAGCTTAATAAATTAAATATAAAAAGAGTTACAAAACTTGTTACTGTCTAGGTTTAATGGTTCACAACTTAATTGTTTAGGATATTTAGTCAAGTCATGTCTTCAGGCACAGACTGAAGGAAATACACAATAATAATGTAAGTTAATATACCTTGCCATGCTCTTCAACTCCAGTTAACATAACTATGACTGTGACTTTGTGTTCCCATATCATCCTCCAGAAATCTGTTACAGTACGATCAAGTGGTCCCTGGGCACAGATGAACAACTTTCTATTCTTATAACCCTAGTAAAAAAAAAGTATTTTCTTCAAGCTATACTGGCTTGTCTTTTGAAAAAGAAAAAATTTCTTAGTGTGATCAATAAACAATTTTTGCATTCAGCTGGCAAAAAATTATATCATTTCTAATTGCTACTTAGTATACATGAAAAAAAAAACAACAACAAAAATTCAAGAACCTAATTAAACATCAAACACTTGAAATTTAATTTGGTAACACAAACTTGCCTCAAGCATTTAAAAATCTGTCACACACACACCTTTCACATATCAGCTTCTATAATAAATGACTTATTCTTAATTGCTACAAAATAATTCTTGCAGAAAAATATATATAATTTATTCTTTTCATATTCTAAGTTCTATTAGATTTAAAAAACAATTACTTCACTAGTGTAAAATAGCTAAAAATATACTTTGAATTATAGGATCTTGTTATATGAAAGCCTTCCCAATCTTTCAAAAAAATTAAATTTCAGACACATTTTACAGCATCAATAACTAAGTTTATATCAATCACTTTCATACTCCCTACTTCATAATATTACTCCTCATTTAACATTATGTGCTTGATAAGACTACAAATACATATAACTAACAGAAATATTATTATTATTATTTTCAGTTTACCCATTATTGTACAAAGCAGATAAAAACAAGTATTTTAAAATGCAATCACTTTATAAAATCACTGTTTCTTAAACTAGTGTCACAACCCACAACTGCAGTTCTAATCTTTTTCACTAAATTCAGCCTCTATATATTTAATATCTAATGTCTAGTAAATGAATTACCAAATGTTTCAAATATATATATATATATTATAAAATTTTTTCTTTACAATAACTTTTTAATGACAAACTAGAACACTTCTGGTTTATGTTCATTACTTTTAAGCCACAAAAGAAGCTAAAAACCTTAAAAAAAAGTATTTTCATAGAAATGAAAAGAATAACGACACATTACATCATCTTTACAAAATAAAAACATTTTTGGATAGTATCAATAACCAATGTGTGCATTCATCTGGCAAAACATTCTAGCTGGAGCATTTTGAGTTCATCTTATATTCAGTTTTAAAATATTTAACGTATCCTTTATTTAAGTTCAAAGTGGATATCTTGCTGTTGTACTGAATAAATACGAATTACACACTAATTTCTGTACACTTGGGGGTCAGGGCTGAAATTTAGTGATTAGTTTTTTTATTTGTTTAGGATTGAGATTGGGAGCCTTTCCTAGCCATTTCAACTATAATATTTTTTCAAATGATGTAACACAGTTTAAAAAGATTTTACAAATAAAGCTAAAAATTATTTATTCAGAAATTTACAGTTCAGTACCATATAACCTTTAGAATAATATACACACACACATATATATATACGTATGTATGATACAAATAAACAATGATCAACATTAAATATTTTTACACATTTTTCAAAGTCAGTTTAAGTAATGCATTTTATATAAGCTGACTTTACTTTTCTTATAACTTATGCACCCTATACAATACATGAGCTAACGGCCAGGTCAGTTTAAGGCAACAGCCATCACTACTAAAACTTCTGATCACAGGGAAGGCAACAATCAGCATCACTTATCTGAACAGTCAGATTAACAGTCAGAATTATAATACCCCCAGAGCTGAAATCATGGAAAATGTTCAGTAGACCTACTGATCTGCTGCCCAAAGTGTTCACTACTTGACAATGCCCAGATTCATGAGATAATTAGCATTTAAATAAATCAAAGAATTTGATGAAAGTTATTAACTCAAAACAATATTTTAATATTATTATTCTGAAAAGTGAACTGTTATCAATAAAACTCCTACTTTAAGATGTTTTTGTTCGACAGGTGAAAAATATCTGTTACATATGCATCACACTAATATTCAGCTCAACAAATGTTTTTTCTTACCTCTACAAAATCAGCATTTATATAATCAGAGCCTGTTATTCCATCTTCCATTGGTAACCTCACCCTTGTTTGATCAACTGTGTATTGTAAAGGAAAGAAAGAAAAACTGTCTCGTATATTTTAACATTCCCATCAAGTCTCTAAAACTTTCTACAGTATTTCTTAGTAGTGAACAGTGTAGCTTTTTTTTATATATATAGCTTTCTATAGTATGGTTAAGGCATCAGTATCGTGAAGTAAATTTTCAAACTGTTGCTGATAGTGTAATACAAAACTATCACTTAGTTGTAAATGAACAAAACATTAAATATCTTAAATATTTTATAAATGGAGCATTTTGCTTTATATTTTATGTTCTAAATTTTGAAATATCTGGTTTGTTTGTTTTAGAGTAAAGCCACATTGGGCTATCTGCTGTGTCTACTGTGGGGTATTGAACCCCCCCGGATTGTAGTGTTGTAAGTCAGTAGACTTACCTCTTGTCCCACCAGGGGACTTGAAATATCTAACATACACTTTAGTTTAGTTAAGTGTGTACATTTTCTTGTTATTATTTTGAATAATTATGAATTATTTACTAATTTCTGCATAATCACAATCATTTTTATCTGATAGTACTTTAGTTTAGAAATATAAATTATTACGATGAAAAAATTATGACTACTTTTCAAAAATAAAATATTTATTGCAGGTGTTAAACAGCAAACTTATAAAATATTTTACATTAGCAGTAAAATGAGATTAAGATTTTTTTTCTTATTAAACTGAATAGTCATTGTATCACTAAGTTTCAATTATGTTGAGTGTGAGTGTTTTTTACATTTAAATATCTTACATTTTCTAAATCACCTTTTACATATAGACATTAAACAACACAGACAAATCTTCCAGCTATTCAGTAAACTAAAATACATTCACAAATTACAAATATTTAGGTTGTAATAATAAAGAAAATAATCATAAAAAGATTGAAAATTATAGTATTAACTTTCTTAAATCAACACCTCATGTTATTAACTCAGTCAATTCTATATCCAAATAATTACCATTTTTAATTAACACAGCCAATTCTACCTCTATATTTTACCTCTACCTTTTATTATTCAAATGTAACTAATGAAGCACCGATACTTACAAGATCGTATGTCTGGATAACGATTTTTACTAAGATTTTCTGGGCTGTCAGATGCATGTGTTGATCTATCTTTGAACTTCTCTGGTAGTGCCTATGAATGTGAAAAAAATAGGTATTAAATAACCAAATAAAAAATAAGAGCTTCTTTGTGTCTCATGGGTGATATCTTTACAAAAAAATTGTATAATTGGGAAAGAATTCTAAAAAAAAGACTGAATTATTCTATTGTTTAGACAAATAAATACAAAAATTCAGAAGAACACTATTTCATTTTTATACATTTTCAATATAAAACAAAGCTTAATCAATTTTAGTTACATATATAATAATAAAATATACATATGACAATTTATGATTGGATCCAAAATGTATCATAGTTTATTACTGTTATATAAGAAATGATTATTAAAAACATTTGAATACTTTTAACTTATAATCATTTGAAGAAAATCACTTGGGAAATTTTCTTGTATCTCAGGTATAATTACCTCAAATTCACTTTGAAAAAGCAGGTCACTATCGCTGTGTCTTTCTACATAAGCACTGGGTAAATCTTCTGCTGTTATGGGACCCAAATAAGGAGTTTTTGAAAGACGAGTACCTGGTAAAAATAATACATGCATTTGAACATTTTCTTCAGAATAATTCAGCATTTATCAAAATGTTGTTAATCAATATATTTTAATCTGATGATATTTTATCAGAAATCAGGTGTACATTAAAAATTTATTGATTCATTTTAGGAACAGAAGTTTCTACATAAAATCAGAAAAAAAGGGTTTAAAAATCAACTCTTTTGAGTAACCAGTGGCATAAGTATGTTCCCGTAATTGTGGAGAGGGGGAGACATAAGGGGGTCCAGATTATAACTACAATTATAGTGAAGTAAATGTGGAGAGCTCAATTACTTTTTATGCAGGGGGGGGCCCATTTTTTGTAGTTTCGACACTGTGAGTAACATACACTTTATTCTATTCTTAACATATATTACCAATATGAACATTATAATTTCAATTACAGTTTTATAAGTTGTATTTCTTTTATCGACACACACAAAAAAATTTTACTTATTTCCCAAAAATGTCAATCTTTTCAATCGGAATAATTACATGTGGAATACAAACAATGACAAACTACTTATATCACAATATATTAACTTCTGATCAAAGCAAGCTACCTATGTAGATCAGAACTATGTATCTAGCAATGAGCATAGCTTATTAAGTATAATGTTGAAACTATATTACTTATAATGATTAGAACACATTTTTTCACAAGACAGTCTCAAAACTAAACTTTCACATATTAAAGATTCAACTCAGTTGATTTTCTTAATAGACTTGCATAATTTTACTTCTATCCATAGATATGACACTTTAAACAAGTCTAAAATTATCATTTTAATAAACTTAAGCATTATATTTCACACAATTAAGATTTTTTTATTAGAATACATAAAAATTAGATTCAGTAATTAACAAGCTCAAATACATTATATACATTAATGAATGTTACTAATAATTAAAATAAATACCTACTTTTACATCTGGGTATGTGTCCATTCCTCTGAATGGTACGACGAATCAAAGCTGTAAGGCCTAACCTATCCCTTTCGTCATAAGGGTCATTATTTTTACGCCTAGAAATAACAACAAATATAAACTATGAAATAATTTCTAAAAGAAGAGCTTCTAAATTTCTACAATACTAACCAAAATTAATTATCTATAGGCCACAGATTTTTCATATTATGTTATATTCAGTGGAATTTCATTCCAAAAGAGATATGTTAGACTTTCTAGTTAATGCCATACTTTTCAGTTGCTGATATCCTATATGTTAATCAAGTGATTAACACTTTTTTTTTTACTTTCTATAATAAAAGTATATATTTATGCTCCATAATGAAGCATACCATTATATAATTACTGAAGCAACTGATACCTTGAGTCAGTGAAAGGCTTGAATCTTTGAAATATAATTAGGTCTTTAAACGAAATAAAGATTTACTTTAACAGTTTAAGTTAAAAATAATATCATAAGTATTACTTCTTTAGTAGACTTAACTAAATCAGTAGGCAAATATTAAGTAAGATTATTTTATATTTCAATGCCAAGTTATTATCCATCTAATTATATATATATATATATAACCACATTAATTTGAACAACAGGTTAGTTATTTATAGGGTTAGAAAGGGTGACATACTTGAATAGGCACAAGACCAGAATCAAGATGAGTACAACAAAAATAAGACCACTAAGAACTCCTAGGACAATAGCCATTGGATTTTCTGTGGGCTCAGATTTTGGAAAAAACCCTATAAAAAAAAAAAGTTTTGTAGTTACTTTCATAATAGTCAAAAATAAAATAAAACACTATGTAAGACTGTAACTTGTAGTGTAAATATCCTTTTTTTTTTAAAAAGCATAATACAGCTTTCCTTATACATACATTTGTGTGAGAAGTAAATATTTAAACCTGTCCTTTGTTTTTCCAAGAAATAACTAATTATCTTCTTAAACTATGCAAAGCACTGGCCTTCACTTTACCAACAACAACTCATTCCACAATATAAAATAGTCTTAACTGGAGCCTAACCTAACTTTACCAAATCTTAAACTTGTGTCCTCTCCTTGTGTTTATCTCCTGGATGATCTTGTAAGCTTAAATAAGATTGTCTCTTACCCTTCTTTTATAAAGAGAAAAATAGTTAAGAGATCTTAACCTACCCCTATAAGATAACTCTTTAATTCCCAGAATCATTCTGTAGCCCTTCTCTGAACCCTTTCCAATAATTCAAGGTCCTTCCTAAGGCAAGAAGCCAAAGACTAAACACATTACTCTAAATGTGATTTAATCAATGACTTATACAATGAATTTTCTTGTTTTATATTCTAGAGACAATAGGAGGAAAGGACACGATTCTAAGATTTGGAAAATTAAAGGCTAGGCTCCAGTTAAAAAAGATTTTTATTTGTCTAACAAGGTGACTAGCTTATAGAAAGAGTTCCTGTCAGCATTAGTGGAGGCTAGTGCTTCTCAAGAACTTAAGAGATAAATAAATAATTTCCTGGAAAAGGTAGGTTTACATTTTTCTTTTCTTAAGTATGGGTGTCTAAGAAAAGGCTTGGAGGACCAAATGATCCCTTGTATGTATGTTATATTTTAATCTTCTTAAAAGAAGCTGTACCAAGCTAGTTAAGCGTAAAGTTTTGCTTAAAAATGATACCAGTTTTAATATGGTTATTAGTTATATTTGACATGCTATATAATAACCGTTACTTCTATTAATACCCTAATCAAGAAAAAATGATGCATTATTTAACCAACCACAAACAAATTTTTATTTATTGTTCAGCCCACATTTGTCACATCAAGTTTGAATAGTATGTTTGGCAGAGTATTGTGAATTTTAAAAATATCAGAAAATGCATACAAAATACTCATAAAAACAAAAAAGCATATTGATATACAAAATTATTTAGAAACTAAATTAAGAAAGAAATGGTAAATTTATAATATATATTGCACATTACTTACCTGTCTCAACAGGAGCAAAGTATGGACTTTGTTTTGATAAGATCTATTAAAAAAGGTACATTCAATAAATCACAAAGAAAACTACTTTTTATTACGTGAAAGTACAGAAGTAGTAATGGATGCATACCTTTGTCTAAATCAAACTAACAGTAGAATTAGTTAGATGAGGTAAAACTCAAGACACTCATCACATTCTTCTTATAAAATAACAGATAAAAAACTGATGAGAAATAATAAAACAATTACAATGCTTTTGCAAAAGAAAGTTATAAGTCATAAAGATCTCACTACGCCCATTATAAATCTTGGCAAGAATCTAATAAAGCTTAATAAATGCATAAATTAATCAAATGAATAAAACCTATGTGACAAAGAACAGGCCAAATGTATTTAATGGAGGCTCAAGGTATCTTATTTTTTAGCAGTCTTCTAAGAACGAAGCTATGATTTCTTTTGTTATAATTTAATACTAACTTAACAGTTATTGTTAATCACTTATGATTTTTTTTGTTTCCTCAAATTCCGGACAGTTAAAACGTTATATATATCATAAATTTTTAACATTAACAGTAATACCGTATTGTTTTACTGGTGGTTTTAAAATGTTATTTAAATACTAAAATCTTAATTTTTAACATGAATACAAATAGCTTTGCATTAAACTAATAACAAGTTTTTGATTTTAAAATAGTTTTATGTTAGTCGTTACATCAATACATGTTTAAGATTAGTACTGATACTGAAGTGCATGTAGCCAGTGTATGGCAAGCCTAAGGCAGTACGAATAGAATTAGTTACACCAGATTTCTTTAGTTATTTTATTAAACTTTAAAGTTTTAAACATAAAACTGAAGTATTTCAAATGCTATCTATTCCTTAAAACAGTCTACATATGATGAATTAGTAATTAACAATAAAAACCATTACATTTCACACCATGAACGGAAGCAGTTTTCAAAAAATTAATGGGCGTACTTTAAGTTTTAGTTTTTATTGTTTTAAGGCTTACGAAATAAGCCTTTTTACGGTACTTTCGTTTCTGATAAAATTACACAGGACTTAATAGTTACTTTTTTTATTATACACAAGTCTAATGTTTAACTGAAATACATTAAATTACTAATATATTAAGCTAAATTATGCCATCAACGACTATCTTAAGTTCTAAAAAATATACAAACATGCGTTTAAATTAAAGTAACTTACACATGATGCACTTAATATATAACACGAGACATAATTATGTAATTGGGAGTAAACGTAATTTGTTAAGAGTTGCTTGTTGTTAAACGCAAAAGCTACACCATGAGCTATTTGTGCTCTGCCCACCACGAGTTTGGAATCTAATTTTTTGCGTTATAAACTTTCAGACTTACCCCTGAGCCACCGACGGCATTTTGTGAAGAAAAAATAAAATAAAGTGTAAGTCAGAGTTGCCTATCAAACACAGCTTAAAGTGTGAAAACAGTGAATTATCAATGAGATCAATGATTCGCTTTTAGTTCCTTCATACTGGTACGCTGAAGAAATTCCTGTTATTTATTATGATGACGTTGTGTCATTTTGTACGCATAATTAATACAAAAATGAATCATGAATCACTCAAGCGATGTACTTAACTATCTTACTTTAGCTAACTTTTCCTTCAGTAGTTCTAATATCGATTCAGTGCAGTGTACTTCAATAGAAGGCTTTTAATGAACACGACGATAGATTTATCGCTTATTATAGAGTAATTATTTGACTTCTAGTTCAACGTTGGTTGAAGAAAGTGATATTAGTTTATACTATCTAATGTTTTAAATCCTTCTTCTCTGTTTACGTTATCTCATATTTTAATGAATAGGTTAATTTAACACTTGATGTGCCCTCCTCAAAAGAGCGGTGTACTTTTTTATGTATAACTGTAACTTCCAATTTTGTTTTAATTTGCAATCCTTGTTCACCTCAGTTATGCGTACAAATGATCACTCAAACTTAAGCAATGAATTGATAGTTTTAGGTAATTTATACTATATTAATGAAATGTTCTTATCACGTAATTGACTTTCATAAAAATGATATTAAAATTGATAATTTATTTTGTTTATATTTTTGGTAAAATACATCCAAATGAAATGCATAATTATATAACGTAATATTGAGTCGAAGATTAAGCAGAAAGATATGAAATATGGACAAAATTCTTATGTGAGGAACATTAAAAGTAGTTATTCGATCTGAATGTGTGTCTGAAAAATTGGTTGTAGTTTACTAAATCGTAGAAAATTACAATATTAATCAGCAATTTGTAAAGTTATTCAAGAAGTATTTTGCACCATATATATATATGAATTTTCATAGAAATAATTTACTTTGTGTTTAGATGCTGTTAATTTGTCTGCAGTAGTGTGGGGTTTTCTCAGTTAACTATCTGGATCGGTGTAAATTCTATATAATAAGTTTCAGTGTCTGTGTGTCACGTAGATCCTTCTTAACCGCTGGTAGCACCGACTTCTAAGTGATACCAAACGATAGTGATTTCTCGAAAACAGTCCACAAATTTTTATATTAGAGCACGTAAATAAGCAGGCCAATTAATTACCGTTCGTAACTTCGTTAAATAAATTAAATTTGCATTATAGCGGCCCTGTAAACGTGTGCCATAAGTGGAGGTTCGTTTGAAGTCAAGCACGAAGCTACACAATGGCTATCTGTGCTCTGCCCACTATGGGTATCGAAACCCGGTATCTAGCGTTGTAAGTCCGCAGACATGCCGCTGTGCCAAAGGGTGAAGGAAAAATAATAATGCCAATATCATAATAACAAAATTAATATTGTTTATAAGACATATTTTTATGTTGTAACATAATTAATTGTTACAAGGGAATTGCGGGTTTTAATGATAACGTTGAGATAAAAGTTGATAAGATAATAACAAAAAAAAATTTACTCTACATACAATAAAAACATTTTATTTCAACCAACGTTTCGCCACTGCGACTTCGTTGGGGGCTAGTAGTAGTACAAGTTTTCGTATTACTAACCACGATGAAGTTGTTTTTCTCCTTATTATTATTATTTGGAGAGTAAAGGTAGTTTTTTTTACCAATTCTATTGCCAAAAATGTCTAAATCCTTCTAGTAAGCACTACAAATTCTAAAAAACAACGTTCATAGGATAAGTCTAGAACATCTACTACAAAGTTCTAAAGATGCGACGTAAAGTTTTCTAGCATACTCGAAAGTAGATTCTAAATACAAGACAGGTGTGAAGAGGGGTAGAGTTAAGCCTAAATGCCTAGTCAGCTAAAAAATGGTGCCCGGCGGGCTCTATTCATACCAATATTATACATCAAGCGAAAGCAAATAATTTCAACAGATAGCTGAATAAATTGATAAACTTAATAAATAAAATGAAATACAATAAAGTTAAAGTAATTTATGTCTAAAAAAACATTATATATATATAAAGAGGCTGACCTAACTGACCGTTAAATCCGCCCCTGGTTGTGAAGTGTGGAAAGTGATTTCAAAATAGACAGCGAACCAGTCAGTGTGTTAGCTATTGTAGTTAATTTGTATAAGTTGATTTGACATCTGTAACATAGGTCTACAGCAACTTACGGAAGTACACAATAGTTCAAGCTTGTAGGAACGTTAAAAAGATGAAATAAGGTAACTTATTTATCATTACATGTACCGGACGTTGAATTATTTTCACCAGATAATTTAAAAGAACCCTTTAACGAAATAACAATGTTATAATAATGTTTCACCTTCAATTGAATGGTACAAAAAACAACATCCTGATCTTATATCTTTCAATGTCGTGCATAAGTTATCTTTCAAACAGAGAATTATCAATTGATTTTATATGAACAACGCGTTGTATAGTTTACAAAAAATCGAATCAAAACTCCTTAGATGTGAAAAAAAAGGTGCAGCCAAAAAAGGATAGAGAGTACGAGTTAAAGGAACGATAAGAATTTTACAGGAAAATTTCATTTATTAATTAGCCATGCCACGTTTTTTGTTCCACTTGTGTAAAACAAAATACGCAGTCTAGCTAACTAATTAATGAATATTTGCTGTAAAATTATTATTAATGCTATAAGTGTAGCTGTCAGTTTGGCCGCAAATTTTGGTTTCATTCGTTTAAGTCGCACGCTCAGTCCTGTTTTGGCTGCAACTTTTTTTTTTCCCACACCTAGATTAGATATCATGACTTTTTATCAATACACACCAACAAACCACAGCAAGTAAGAAAAAGTGATACCCGATAGTAGCCAACATAAGCTTTAGGATCGCAACCCTATTATTGGGAACAGATCTACATTTTACAGAAACAACCAGATTCTTTATAATACGGTGGTAGTTTCCATTTCTAAAACAGCGTTAATAACTTCCTTTATAGTAACAGCATGGAAACTAGATTAACAGTTTCTTGTCAACACCACTAGGTGCAGCCGTATCAAGTATCATTATTTACACTAATGTCACGTGACCCTACACGCTCTTTAATTAGGAAAATTTCATAGAATTTAGGAAATTTGTGCTTAAAAGTTGGCAACAAACAATGAATAATAACTGTTCCACCCGTATGATTCTTTTGAAAAGTTGAGTTAGAAACTGCTAATCTAGTTTGCTTGGCCTAACCAGTACTTATGAATCTACTCGTTCTTTCACCCAATAGTTTGCTGCTGTAAATCAGCCGTCTTTGATCCGAATAACCAAAAAAAGTAAAAAAAAGTCTACTTTTATTCGTAGGTGAAGCTGTAGTAAAAATGTCAGACCGATAGCTCACGTGACTTTTTTACGTAGGCGTGCACAAAAATTTTGGTCAAAATTGAACAATTTTTGTTGAATAACTCTGCACATGTCGCTTACACTTAGACCAAATTTGACACATAATTGTAGGTTGTAAAGATCTAACAGCGTATCAAACTTGAAAAAAAAATCCATGAAAGTTAAATATGTTTTTCTGTCAAATAAAGTACCGTGCTTTGGATGCAAAGAAAAAAAAAGGAAATAATTCAATCAAGATTGGAGATTTTATATCTCGCGTATTTCTTAATAGATTGCCTTGAAATAAGAATATATAGTGAAGTAAAAATTTACGTTTCGTCTGTAAAGCAAAAATATAAGAGCAGTGAATCTTTGAGTAAATTTACAACCACATCTGACTGAGAGCAGAAAACGATTGACAACCATAAACCAACAGCTTAGCACTTTCTTCCCATTCTCAGTTAAATACTGTAAATGATGGCGTCACGTTGACGTTAGGCTTCAACAAGATAAAATGAGTATTTTGTATCCAGTTATCTTTCAATAATATAATTTGAATTTGCCAAAAACTGAAGAGCTATTTATGCTCTAAATAGACAATGTAAAATAGAGATGTCAATATTTATGATACTATGAAACCATTTAAGATAAAAAAAGATAAGTCACGAAACAAAGAATCCAATAACTCGAGCGCTTTTGGAAAGCAGAATTCCTTTCTGCAGAAGTGGGTAAAGAGTGAAAGTAAACCTTTCGAAAGCACTCAGTATTCTAGTTCACAGAAATCAGATTTAATTCTCAAGACTAAGCTAATACTCAATCAGTTCAGAATGTGACAGAGCCATACCTTTATCATATTGGATGATTTTTTTTTCTGTTATACAAAGATTTATTTGTAAACAAAATGCAATGTCTTTTATAGCAAACAAAACAGCTGCAGAAAATTAACTTATTACGCTAAACGCAATACTAACCGTTTTGTTAGGTCCCATCACTCGTACCTCGACGAAGCCAGTATAGTTGGTTTTAGGAGCAAGTTTACCATCATACACGTATTCCGTTAGAATGTCTGATTTTTTGGAAGGCTGCTCGGTCACTCTTCGAGAGCGAGCCTGGGGGCTAGCAGGATGATCAAGGTTAGTATCCTCACACAGACTGTATCGATCATCGCCAATTATAACTTCACTCACAAAAGATTCGCTGGAAATACGTGCAATAAAAAAAAGAACAAAGTTGTTCCCTTGGTTTCATACGAGTACAAAACGAGAAGTAAATACTAAAGATACAGTTTGCACTTGTCTACTGACATCATATTCTTTAGCTATTTTGAGCAGTTTATCCAAAACATTTAGCTTCATATTTATAAACAATGTAAGTTGCAGTTTGAGCTAATATTGTCAAACATGTCACTAAAACATTTGTGTAGACATTAGAACATCAGAACTGTGTAATGATTAGAACTGGTAGGCCAAGGTTGTATACAACAAAAAGCTGAGTCAATTATATAGATGTGCTATAATTTACGGATATATCAGAAGTAAAATTTGATATAAAAGACTAAACATATTGGAGAGGGGTTTCTTTCTGATTTTGTGTGCTATCGCTAAACCAATTTATATCAGTGCATTACAAAGGGCGAAAAACGAATTTCGTCAAACAAACAAACAAAAAAATCTAGTCCTACTAAGAAGTATGGGTCATTAATTGTTTCTTGTTTGTTTCATTTTGAATTTCGCGCAAAGCTACACAAGGGCTATCTGCACTAGCCGTCCCTAATTTAGCAGTGTAAGAATAGAGGGAAGGCAGCTAGTCATCACCACCCACCGCCAACTCTTGGGCTACTCTTTTACCAACGAATAGTGGGGGATTGACCGTCACATTATAACGCCCCCAGGGCTGAAAGAGCGAGCATGTTTGGTGGGACGGGGATTCGAACCCGCGACCCTCAGATTGCGAGTCGAGCGCCTTATCCACCTGGCCATGTCGGGCCGGTCATTAATAATGCCTTGAGTTATTTTGTCAGTACTGTAAATATTATATATAACGATGTTAATAACAACTCCAACTTACGCTGCGTTACGTAATAAATAAGGTAAACACTATTTGTCGGATATTCGCGTACAGCTACACATCTGCTATCTGTTCATAGCTGCACCTAATATGGAACTGATAGACTAGAAATAAGACAGCTAGTCAAAAGCACCAATCGCCAACGTTTGGGCTACTGAATAGAATAGAGCGATAGGCCTGTCACTCTTATAATGCACCCATTATCCCAGTAACAGGAAGCGAACCATGGACCCACGAATTCACAGTCTGAGACAGTAACCATTAGTTGAGCCCGGTCTAGAAAAGCCTGTGATTCCTTTCGTATAGTAAATTACATGTAAATGACTTTGTAATACATTTACACGTAATTTAATGTACTTTACCATATTATGCACTGCCTCTAAAGTGTACCCCCCCCAAAAAAATTTAAACAACTTTATGGTCATATCTTCTTCCGTAGCTTTTACCTGCTATTTTCGGTTTTGGCAGG